TAACATGGATGGTGAATTCTAGTAGATTTGCCTTTGCCAAACCATTGTTGTGAGATGTTAATATTTGATGACTAAGAATAGGACAAACAAGGGATTAAAATTTGCTTTAATGAAACACTCAATATCTTCACTTTTAGCCAATCAAAATCAAATCGAATTTATGTTAGGTGCATTTTTGGATTCTCGAAAGATTCCGAAAATATCTGCGATTATCTAACAATCGGTGGGAACTTCATTCATTTTCATAGATGATGGTAACCCATAAGTTTTACATTATGAATTCACAAAACTATAGAATTACTTCGGGAATAAAGTAATATTGTTTCGAATTCTTATAATATCCTTCTTGTAAGACGACTTATTCAATATATTGTATAATACTTTAATCTAATTACGAAATAAGCACTATTGTCAGAAGTTTTGTAGAGTTTGAAGAATCTAATCTTCTTGTTTTTCAAACTCTTCAATTCTTCATTAAGCCATAAAACTTTCGTGACACGAGTAGGTTCATTTGTTATAGGAACAAACTTAAAAGCAGAATGTAAAACTCTTGTGAATGAAAAATATAGCTCATTTCTAATTTTAATATAATTTGGTAGGTATGTACATTAAATTCTTCTAGTGCCATTGGAATAACTAAATAACTATATGTTGAACTAGTAGTGAAAAATTCTGGAACTTTTTCCGTTGTGACATTTCATTCATTTGTTTCAATTCATAAGTTCAGTTTGTTTTTAAAGCAACATGTGTCTCTCATTTTAACAATACCAATGCATACCCGAACGATTGTACTCTTCTATAACATCAGAAATTCTCGAACGTTCTTTTATGCTCCCTTGAGCATTCGCTCCAAATAATTTGTCCCTTTTTCGAATTTTTTCGATCCTAATTTGCAGTCCTTCCACATGGTCACAACGTCTTCGTATTTGCTTAAAAGCAGAAGCTCCGTAGTTAAAACCACACCTGCAAGTGGGGACTGAAAATTTTCAAGCAGCATGCAGTGCACTTAACAACAATCGTATTCTGTTCATATTGCAGTGGGATAATGTACTATGTGTATCAACCCAATACAAGCTGATACATTCAAGAAGGGCTCAAATTAACATTACACGAATATTCTTTCTCAGCGTTCGCGAATATTTAACACTGTTCATTCCGAATCTTTATACTCTGAAATCTAGCTGGGATGTCTAACAATCACAAGACTTGTCCTTAATACAATAGAAAATTTGTGTTTAATAGAAACTGTTCGAGCTGCACAATGGAGTTGAACTTGTATAAATTCTCAATTTAAATACTTGGATTCGTCATGTTTTAGAAAGAGCTTATGCCACAGTGAGGTACATAAAAAAGCCAACTTTAAACTTTTCCTAGCTAAAACCAAAGTTAATCCGCTACAAAATCTGAAAAACATTTCCGAAATTAGAACTCTGCAGGACATTTCTTTGCCAAATTAATCAGTAAGGTTAAACAATTCAAATTCAAAATTATTAAAGATGATCACCATTGTACTATACCTGGAGCATGTAAACCGAAGAAGTAATGAGATAATGCAATCAAAAGTATACGAAGATTTTGTAAGGGTATACGTAACAGGCAAGTCACCGCAATAACCTAAATTCAGAGTATAACCATCAAATTATTTTACCGAAGTTGTTATTGGTGGTCGCTTCGACATGAGATGTTATAAAATACGTAGACAGATATCGTTCAAAGGTTATGTTGCAGTTTTTGCATCACTTTCTACAAAAGCGATAAATTTTTAAGCAATAAGTTATTTGCCAACATTGCGATCGACTACAATACAATCTACGATTTTTCGTCTTTTTTGCCATGGTGCCAATTTTCTTTCTTTAATGAAATATCGAATATTCTTAAATTTAAGCATTTTACCATCTACTCCACAATTCATTCAGCTTGTGGACAAGGTGGATGCGAGAAGGCAAAGTAATTCTTTCTGTGCAAGATTAGCTAATGGATGGACAGAAAATTAAGTAAAGTGATGCTGATTGGCTTTATTTCAGTTGAGGTGATTGCATACTCATTCATTCATTCATTCATTCATTCAAAGAATTTGAAGAATGCTGCTTGATGCCATATATATTTTATGGGCATTGTACAGTCTTCAAATTAAGAAAATTTAGCGCCGTTATGAATGAAAATGTTATTGTTGAATTTGATTTCAGTTTTAAACGTTTGGTCGAAAGAAGTACATGCTTTGAGGCATGGAGCAAACGATTTTATTTAATGCGAGAGTAATATGTATGTATCTATTTATTTCTTGAGGCAGACTCGTACTTTCTATCGTTTAAATGTATGTAAGTATTACCAATGCATATCAAATTATAAACTGAATTTTTAGAATTAAAATTTGCATCTATTTTAGATTTATAGGATATTAAAAATATTAGTTAAGATTCACATTTACCTATTACAATATTTATAGTATGTCAATTAATTCTTTCCAAAATGTAAAAATCAAACAAATCATTTTTAAACTTGATTTTTATTAACTAAAACAATTTTCTTTAACTTCTTTTTTTTTAAATTATATTAGTCTGAGTTATCTTAACATAAATAATGCACACAAATTCACAGAATTCAAGACATAAAAGTAAAAGAGATATAAAAATTCAAAAGACAGCAAATATTATGGTGTCAATTAAAAGTTTGCATTTTGTAAACAATTATTGCAAATATAATTAAAGTTGGGAAAATATAGCAGTGTTGGTACTAATATTTGGTATGAGGGCCACTTGCATCTATAACAGCCCGAAGATGACGAGGCATGGACTGAATAAGGTTGTTTAAGTCATAATTTTCAAGTATTTTGTTTCATTCTTCTTGAATGACCTTAATGCGTTTTTATTAGTTGGGCCCCGTTTGCTGCCCACTCGCTTCTTTCAAAAAGCCCATACATTTTCTATGAGGTTTACGTCAGGACTCTGGGCAGGAATGTTAATCACTTTACTGCAATTATATTGTTGTTGTTGTAGCGGTCCGTTAACCCCGCTTAGGTTAAGGTTTGATTAATCTAAGTCGCCGAGGTCATCTAATGGGAGGTCCAGGAAACAAGTTGTTTCGACGGGATTGGACCAAGGGGTGAGGGTGTTAGATGAGTCGGTTTAAGGGGGCATGTGAAGAGTTGGTTACTGTCGTGCGGAGACTCTCCACATGCAGGGCAAACGTTGGATATGCTCGGGTCGAGTCTGGATAAGTAGGGGTTTAACCTGCTACAGTATTCAGACCTAAGTTGTGTCAAGGTCACGCGGGTCTTTCGAGGCAGCTCGAGCTCGTTGTCTGCTATGGGTGGTGGTTTCTTCCGAGCACGCCATTCACTGAAAGGGAGTCTAAGAAGGTGTTGACTGACTCCTGGTGAATGGCGTTCAGTGCCGGTCTGTACGCCGTCCTGTCCAGGGGTTGTTGCACATGTTGCTTGAATATGTCCTTTAGATCTAGTACTTTTTTTCTGATGTGCCTAGGTGGAGGTTCAGCTTCTATTACGTTCCCTGCGGTAACATCCCAATAGGAACTCCTTGCACAGCAAAGCATTATGCTCCTTAACCGTCGCATAGATGCTTCGCTGTGCAAGTGATGCTCCGGCGACATCAGGAGGTTTCCTGTCGCAGTTCTGAGGGCGGTGTCTTGGCAAGCCTGCATCTTCTTTTTCTGCGTCTCGTTCGTCCCGGCGCCCAGATTGGCCGGCCAATTGCTTTATAAGTTGCCAGCAAAGTTACCTTGTCTTTACCCTAGGTGCTGCCGGCTAGCGCTTTGAGTATTTTGTTGCGGCGCTAGTTTTGCGGCAATTGCGGTCGTATGCGAAGTCATCGGCCTTCACATCTAGTTCAAGCCTGCATTCCACCCGGTCATCGCGTCTCGTCGGGCCTGACAACGACTTGAGTGTAGCCCAGAGCTTGGTTGCCCCCAGAGGAAAGGTTGCAGATCCTTAAGTTTTCCTCCTACTTTTTCCGCTTACGGTTGTTAACTACTGTGCGAATTTCCGCGGGGTGTCGCGCCTCGATTCTAATACCGCCGCTTCTGTCGGAAAATTTTTGACGGATTTCCTCGATTCGGCCTGCCGGAATGAAGCGGGCCTGTGGAATAAATGCTCACCAGTGGTGACGTCTGATGGAGTGGTGAATTCCGTGAAGCCGGGGCAGTTAGGTTTTTTGACAACAAAGTCGGGAGGCCTGTCAATCGAGATTTGTATGGGCAAGTGGTCCGACTATACTATTTATCAGACCAGCACCCGCAATTGTTATATCCGGTGAGCTTTGGCAATTACCCATAACTCTGGTGGGGGTATTATTGTTCATTGTACAGAATGTCGAATCGTCTATCTGTCCTGCCTGCTCTGTTGGTGGGAGTCATGTCGCAAGGAGCTCAGTGAGATCGTAGAGGTATATTGGTTACCCAAAGTTCGTAAAGGTTGAAGGCACTACCGTGGAGGCTGGGGCGCACTTGGGCGTTGGCAGCATTGGACCATATAACTTGTGGTCCACTCCCAGTGGATCTTAAGGCCTGAGCAGGTCTTAATATGACTCAAACCATTGCACTGGCTGCACCTAACCGAGGTGGAGGAGTGGTGTAGTCTTTTTTGGCACACGCTGCAGACCAGGCTTGCTTCGACGCCACCCCTGATAAGGACTTGGAGAGTAGCCGCGTCCTGTACAACAATGATTTATGTTTGGGATTAATTAACCATTAATTGATATACTGTAAATGAATGAATATCTCTTCTTATTTGCGTTTATTTTGATAGCAATCCTGCAAAAATTTGTCATCTGAGGTTAACATACGGCAATGTTATATCGAGACGGATCTTATTTGTTATTACTGAGCTCTTTGTTGTGTGCCAAAACTGAATGTCCGCAATTGAACCTCCTCGTATTTTACGTCCTCTGCTTTGTTTTCCACCTTAGAAAGCTAGAAATATCTCTGCTATTACTAAGATATAATCATAAGTTTTGAAATCATAGAAATTCTCGAATATTTTTCAGTGCATCATCAACATATTATCCACGGGGATTTGAAACCGGAGAATCTCTTACTTACCGAATGTGGACGCGTTAAAATAGCGGATTTGGGCGTTTGCAATGAATTCTTCGGGAAAGATGCAATGATAAGCAGTAGTAGTACTGCAGGAACTCCGGCTTTTAGATCTCCAGAATCGCTACGACTCGGTCGTGTAAGTAATAATTTAAATTTTATATATTGTTGGTCGCGATAGCAAGTCTAAGTTATTAAGAATACATAATTTTTATAGCATGTGAATAAATGCGAATGCAAAGTTTTTCAATGGTATCGCCTGATCTTGAGCATGGACCGTTAGGTCACATTCTTGTTAAGCAAATTATACATATGCATTTACGTATGTTATGTATGTATTCAGATATATATGTATAAAAGTATTATCAATATATTTTACGTATCTCTTTACATAAGCAAACAGTACAAACAAGCAAAGAGATTCCACAATATTAGTGAAAAGAACGATATTAACATAGGAACATCACTATTCAGCTGTACTTATCGGCGGCAACATCCCCTGGCCCATAAATGAGTTGGGTTGAACGAATTTGCTTGAAGAACAGCCGATATCTAACACTGCAGTTTTGGAAACTGGACGGTGTAGTATTCCTGATGTAGTTTTCACTCCGGCGCTCCGTATTTGTCCGTCCTGGGCTGTTACGATATTAATTACCTTACCTTTCGACCAATTATTTCGTGGTAAACTTTCATCCTTTGAAATTTGTCCCATTATCGGTAAAAATTTTCCGGCATAACACATGAGCATGTATCCATAGCGCGTAGTGAGAGGCAGGTAAATAGAACACCCCATCGCTTTTCGCGTCTTCTTCCGACGATTACTAATAAGGGACCATAGGAATCTATGCCGACGAAAGTGAAAGGTTTTTCGAAGGCGGCAAGTCTGGCATTTGGCAACGCCGCCTTCTGTGGAATAATCGGCTTAGCGTTGTAATTCTTACACTTCTGGTAAGATTTTTTAACTTTTCTGTATAAAACTCGCAACCGGGGTATATAATATTGCGCACGTATTGTATTGATGCATATGTTGATGAAATATCTCGTGAACCGAGCGTACAATTAAGATGGTAACATGATGTGAACTTGGCAAAACAATAATGTCTACGCGATTGTTAAGGCGTTCCACCCTGCCTTTACTTTAATTACTCTTGGTATTGACAGTGGCTTTAAAAGAGATACCTTAGATTTCGAGGCAAAGAGGGCAACGGTGACTCCGCTGGTATACTCAATATGTAAATAACATACAGTTGCATGTGCATTTTCGCCAGCGTCGACAAACGTGTGAAGTTGAACTTCCTTTCAATGTTGTATATATTGTGAATAGCAGCGAAGAATTTTCACTGCGGTTATAACTTCGATAGTTGATTTCCAATGACATCTGTCGTATTAAGCAATTCATCCCATCCGATTTCAAATCTGCAAATATCTTGTAGAAGGATTTTAAGTCCTATTGCTAAGCAATTATTAAGACCAAGTGGGTCGAAAATAGACAAGAGGACTTGAAGTACCTCTCTTTTTGCGGGCACAACAGGGTCGTTTACGACTTCTCTGCGCAATCGCATAAATAAAAGAAAACCTTTTAAGTTTAGGTTAGATACCCTGCTGATATCTCATTTAAAAGTTGGTTGTTTAAAAGTGATTTTATTGGTAAAGATCTAAGTGTGGGCGACTAACACTCAGTATCGAGTGGGAGATTATGGGGAAAATAATGTTTTCTCTCTGTAATGTTCAAAAGGTATTGTATAAATACAAGGATTAGTTCTAACACTTTCGAGCTGCTCGAGCATTTGAGCAACGAGATCTCGCACACTCGCTCAATGCTCCTCGCTTGATAATTTTCGTGCAAGATCTTGAGCATTTTAAATAAAAAGTTTGACTTTCTTCCCAGAACACCTTTCAAAAATTTTTATTTTATAAATGCAAAGTATAAAACTCATTGGAATACTGAAACACAAACATAATTTCAAACTATCGTTTGAGCAGTTGAGTAACGAACGAGTATCGAGATACAAGGGTACCTGGAGCTCAATACATACAGTATTGTATATAAAACAAAAGCGTCAAAGGAACTCGATAAAATTACTAAAAATATAACAAATAAAAGAGAGATACATAATAACTACAGTATGCTCTAATTTCTTTTCATTTAAGAAATTAACCAACTAATTTTTTACTATTATTTAAAGTTCTTCAAAAAGTAAACGAAAGAATTTTAAGTAAATGCGATTTTCCGCACGAGGTCGGAGACACGTCTACGAAGGAAGGAGAAGGGGTACAATTTAAGAAAAGTCTCCTAGCTCATTTACGCGTATAGACATCAGCATGCTAGCGGGATGCATATACTTATGTTGAAGATTTACCTTTCATGGCAGCTTCTAGAGAATTCGGTCAAAGACATTTGGTCTAAAGAGAAAGCCCTTGAGAATACTTCGGGAGAATAAAAATCTGATAGTGCACACAGCATCAAGCCATTGGCCTCACAAGACAGCGAATCAGGTGGATACCTTCCAGTTCGATTGCTATATGAATTCAAGTCAAAGAAAACTTTGAAGGGGAACTGTATTGGGCCAACGCCAAGAAGACATTTCCCTGAAGATGGTTCCATTACAGAAGAACATACAGTGCATAAACAAGGGTTGGAAGATAAATACCTATTCAGCAAAGGTGACAACAGAGAAGCTTTGCATTGATACCGGTTTCGCGAAGCCTATTCGTCAAGCTCCTCAAACGAGAAGATGTGAGCCAAAATAATAAAAGAAATGAGTGATAGTAGTGTAATCAAATCGTCAGCAAGTCCAAGCGGTAGTATTTGCGAAGAAGAAATACGACAAGTTGCGTTTCCTCGTAAACTGTCCAATCGATGATACTCTATATTCGCTTAGAACGAAATGGCTCCAACACTCGACGTTAAAAGCAGTAAAGAAAAGACAGCCTCTAGTGTTGTAAACGTCTCCTGACAATTCACGGTGATGTTCTTTGGATTATGGAAATAACATTGGAAAGCATGTTTGGTATATCTAGATGCCATCATCAAATGGAGTAAAGCCTTTGATGAACGCCTGGAAAATTTCGATGAAATGGCGCTGATCTGAAACTAATTCCAAAAAGGTGGTCTTTATTCAAGAAGTAGTGGAATTACTTACATGAGTCATCAGGTAGCTGCAAGGGGCGTCTGCACAGCATAGGACATGTTGAAGGCAGTGAAGGGTTGCTCGGAATTGCTCCAGAATCGCTCCAAGAACTCACTAGAGACGTAAGTAAATATGACATGGACCCCTTGCTTTGGCATGAGAAAAAAGTTTGTAGTCGCACATCGGAATTTTCAAAAGCATTTGTATGCTGTGTAAACGGACGCTAGACAACACCAGAAGTGCAATCAGAATTGGGAACGATCTCTCCGAGCCGTTCGATACCAAACGAGGTTTCTGACAAGGTGATTCTTTAATTTGTTGCTGGAAAAAATTATAAGATTTGCAGAGCTCAATAGAGAAGGTACAATCTTTTACAAAAGTGTACAACTACTAACGTGTGCCGATGATACTGATATTATAGCCTTAACAACCGCGACGTCAGGTTTGTTATCTCCAGACTTGATACAGAAGCGAAGCGAATGGGTCTGGTAGTAAGCGAGGACAACACGAAATATCTCCTGTCATCAAACAAACAGTCATGGCATTCGTGACTTGACAGAAGCTACGCTGGATAGGTCATGTCGTCCGAATACTTTGAAAGTATTCGATGCTGTACCCGCTAGTGGACGCAGCACCACCACAAAACTGACAGCATAATCTTCTTTTGGTAAATATCAGCCTTTGAAGTGAGGCGCTTCATTCTGCTTGGGCTATGATCATTGGGTGCCTTCAGCGAACTGAGCGCTCTGAACGCAATGATTAGTTAGCGCCTAGTAAAAATGCTCACTGAGCGCTCACCATATTTTTAAGCGTAAAATTTTTGTGCTACTTGCTGCTGATCGGTCAACTACTGTATACAGAATAGTTATTTTTTTATTTTTTTTTTATTTTTTTTTATTTTTTTTTTTGTAATTTTTTTTTTATACACAATTCATTTATTTACTGGATCTGCTATAGCCTAACAGTAAGTGTACAAATCTTAAAAACTTTTCAAACTACGGTGCTCTCCTTAGAAGGCGGGAACATTTCTTCGCAGCAGTCGGGAAGTTCTCGATGGGTTGCATTAGATAGCGGTTTTGGATGATTTCTCAGCTTTTTGAAGTACTTCGTCCTTCTTCTTTCAATTTCAGGATTAACTGGTAAAATACCAAGGTCTTTATGAATATTTATGTTACGAACGTACCATGGTGCGCCCGTTAGTGCTCTTAAAATTTTGGACTGGAACCTCTGAATTTTATCAATATTAGTTGCTCAGGTCGTACCCCACAGTCGAATACTATACATCCAAATTGGTTCTAACACTGGGTTGTAAATAAAGACTTTGAAGTCCAGTTTTAAACCGGAGTTTTTATTTAAAAACCAATTTAAACTAGCTGCTTTTAATTTCATGCGTAGTCTCTTCCAAGTGAGACGTCTATCTAAGTGTATACCGAGTTACATGTATGTAACATCATTTACTTGGGGAATGCTTATACCATTTAAGCGAATCGCAGGATATGATTGCGGTCTTAAAGTAAATGTAACGTGTTTACACTTTTGTTCATTTACTTTAATTCTCCAGTAATCTTTTTGCTGCTCTTTTAGGGTATTTATCCCGGCATAAAATAGCTGTGTCATCCGCAAAGGTAGATGTCTTCACTTTTCGGTTTAATGGGATGTCTGCAGTGTATATGATATATAAAATAGGCCCGTGGACGCTACCCTGCGGAACACCAGCTTTTACCGGATACTGCTCACTGATAAATTCAGATTGTTTAATGGTAAATTGTCTGTTAGTCAGACATGACTTAAGTATCATATAAAATGGAACAGGCAGAGCTTTATGTATTTTTTACAGTAAAGTTTTATGCCAGACTTTGTCGCACGCTTTTACTACGTCAAGAAAGATTGCTCAACAGTACTCCGTGAGCTCGAAAACCAAATCGATGTGTAGGAATAATATCACCAAAGGAGTAATTTTTGCTAGCAGCACTTTTTCGAAAAGTTTGGATAGGTAAGGCAACAGGCGGATTGGTCTATATGATGACAGCAGAATTGCGTCCTTACCTGGTTTAGCTATCATAATTATCTGCGACTCTTTCCATATTTGTGGATAATATCCTAACATTAAAATGGCACTTAAAAGCTTTGCAAGAAAATCATTGAGCAATGCTTGGCAGTTCGTCTCCTGGAGTTTTTTTTGAATTTAAAGCGGTTATAATGTTTTTTATTTCAGACACAGATACTTCGCAAGTAATAGTGTACTAGGAACAGTATGATTCAGTGACAAAGCTGCACTGTTTGTATCAGTATTTGGTTGAAATACTGTACTGAGGTGCTCTGCAAAACAAGAAGCCTTTTCTTCGTCAGGTCTGGCCCATGAATCGTTACGTAGCCTCAGTGGTGCTTACAGGTGGCTTAAGGGTTTTGCTAGCTTTCCAAAACGATTTTTTGGTTGAAGCGGTGGGAGACGTTTTAAATTTTTTTATATATATTTCCACTTCGTATCTTTATGCCTTTGGGGAGACGTTATAAAATTTTTGTATATATTTCCTCTTCGTATCTATATGCCTTTTTTAGCTTGTTTTCTACCATATTTAGTCTGATTTTTGCATCGGGCGATCGGAAGGCTGGCCGTTCGCGACGCAAACGTCTCTTGTTTCGGACCAACAACTCTATTTCACTATTACTTGTCCATGTTCTAGTTTTTGGTTTTGTTTCCTGCTCTGGTGTTGCTATGGTTGCTGCTGATGCTAGCATACTGTAAGTAACTCGTTTTCAATATCAGATGCCCTCTGTATTTCCGGAGCCATTGTGCCATTTTGTTCTGAACGTAGCAAGTCAGTTGGTTGTTCGGTCAATTTAATGATTATTGAGGAATGATCAGAAAATAAGTCAGCACAGGTTTCAGCAAATACTAAACTCCTATCAATTGACTTACTGACTGCAAAGTCAATCAAGTCAGGTAATTTCCTTGCGTCATAGGCCAGTAAGTTGGTTGTCTTGCTGAGATAAAATCGTATCTATATTTGGTGCTTACGATCGTTTTGTATAACTGCCGACCGACAGAGTCTTGAAAAAGTCTCTAAATTGTTTTTCTGTTATTATGAAGCTTGGCGGACAGTAAACTGCAGCCAATGTATGGACAACCCTCTTATTTTTAAGGGTGATCGAAGTTGACTGCAACCAATTTGTTGAAAAGGAATTAAAAAAGCTGTGCTTCAAACGGTTCCTTATGAGTATTGCTGTGCCAACATGTGCTTTGCCATCTGGGTGATTAGTGGTATACAGCTTAAACCCAAGGTTAAAAAAATTATACTTCTGGGTGAGATGAGTTTCAGATATAAGCTTAACATCAATTTCGTGAGTCTGTAGGAATAATTTAAGTGCTAATTTGTGCTGGTTTACACCATTTGCGTTCCATAAGCAAAACGAGTTTAAATTTACACGATGAAATGCTTAAATTTTTTTCGAGCTTTAAGTGAAGTTACGGTGGAGATTAAAAAACACATCAGTACATTATAAACACTAAATAAAAATATACATGATTATGAACGATTGATTTTAATATACTTACCTTCTCTCCAAACCCACGCTCTGTTACATGACTATTCGATTCGATTAAAGCTTTAATATTGTCATTATCAACCTGAAAATGGGTTATCTTTAAGTGAATAATCTCCCGAACGGGATTTGACAAACCAACTTTGACACTGTGCTGCATTTTTTCCTTTAAGGAAATAATAAAGAAAAATATGGCGAAAATGTTCCTTTGTGGGCTCCATATTAAAATCGACGCTAAACAAACAAATATAAACAAAATTAGGCATACTTTTTTCTAAAGCAAAGTCAAAGTAGCGGCAATAACTGTCAAAAGAAAAATCACAAGCTGTTCAAAAAAATTGTCAACGCCGTCTGTATGAAAAATCGCCGGCTTCTTTTGAGGTGACCCAATATTTTCCATAGTTTCTCATGATTTTTCTTTTCCAATATAAATCTTTTCTTGTACGCATTATAAGTATAAATTGTCGATATTTGACTCTACTCAAAAAAAGCTATATTGCAAAATACAAGTTTCAGGGAGTTACCCTTTTTTGAAATCAAACTTTGGATTCAAACATTTATGGGCCATATAGCGCAATGGAATAATTCATTAGGTAGTCCTGTGCAGTGCACTATTGGATCAACTCGGGTCTCGCTACAAACTTGTTATTATATTAGCCGATGGTTTCTTGTTTTGCAAGTGCCTAAAATGTATGAAACTAAAATTGAGTCAATTTCGTTTTGCCTCGTTGGTACACCTGCGACATACATAAGTTTAAGCTAATACTTATATTAGCAAATAATAGTTATAAATAACTATACATACGTGTACATACGTGTATGCGATAAAGTAACGCACTGTAGGAGCTTAACGAAAATAGCGCGAAAAGATGTAGCTTTTTTACTCGCAATCAACTGATTTTGCGGCACTTTAAAACATGTTTGAGACGCATTTTGTAAAACTTTTCTCAAAATAATATATATGAAGATTTTCGTTTCTTTCGCTTATTTTAACAAGGCTGTCGTTACAGTACCCAACATTTCATTTTCATGCTGATTCGATAGTTGCGAAAGTCCCTTAAAAACCAATAAACATTTTTTGCAATATAATATGAAAGTTGCTAAGGCTACTCAGTTAAATTTTAATTTTTTATTATAATATTATCTTTTCAAATAAATAATATAATATGTGCAACTAAATATTGTTTTAATATAATAACTATTCAATTTTGTAGTATTCTAAAATAATATGTGTATAAATATTTTATTTATTTAAAATTTCGATTTCATTACAGCACGTATATTGCGGAAAGGCTGCCGACATTTGGTCATTAGGAGTCACACTGTACGCATTGGTTTATGGCAATATACCATTTACGGCTAATTCCATTCCAATTCTATATGAAAAGATTAAAGTAGATCCGATTGTATTTAACGAATATCCATTAATTAGCGAAAAACTTAAGGATTGCATTTCTAAGATGCTCGACAAAACCCCAGAAACCAGGATTTCTTTACAACAGTTGAAAGTTTGTTGTTTAACTTTCTCTTATAGATACGTATTTAAGACCTTCTTTTCAGGAACATGCTTGGGTAACAAAAGATGGTTCGCATTTGCTACCCAACGAGAGTGAGAACTGTGAATTGGTGAAAATCAGCGAAGAAGACATCAACGCTGTTGTGCAAAGTATACCAAAGTTGGATACGCTAATATTAATAAAAACAATGCTCAAAAAACATTCCTTTGGAAATCCCTATAATAGCGAATTTCTACGCCAACCACATTCTCATAGTATAACTCGAGCAGAAAAATTTGTACGGTCAGGGCGCTCTAATTCTGCCCCAGGTTCATATTCACAGCTGTAAGTTTTTCTTATATATTTTTATAATAATTTATTAATGTTTACTTATCGCTTAATCGTGTAATGGGGTGTAGTCATGATTCAGCGTATGTAAGTAAAGTGACAGAACCATACTTAATTCCTACTCTTACAGGCCTATTCTGTCGAGGTAACAAAATTTACGGAATGGTAAATTTTAATACCTAGGTATTCTGAGCTCACTGTTACCCTGTAAATTTTGTTACCAGCGAAATAGGAGGTAACAAAAGCAGTGCTGCCAAATTTTTTTCAAACATTGTAACCAGTTCGCCAGAATACCAAATTCAATTTCGTGTGTTAAAAACAAGTAACAAAATTCACTTTACCGATAACAGTGTAGAATAGGCCTTTTAGTAAGCAATGCGCACCGTGGAAACGTGGGCAACCTTTGTGCAAAATGCGGTAAGCAAGCCGTATGCAGCTTTGGGTCACGACTAAAAATCATGAATCTTTAGTGCATAAACGAATAGGCGTCGTTTTGCAGCAAACTGTTCGTTGTACAAAGGTGCTTGAAATCTAAATCCAACCTCGCTTAGGTAGGTTCCAATAAAAATACCAACAATATCTCGAATGAAAGACTCCATTTTTGGTTACGTGTAAAGGACTATGTTTAAAATGCATACAACCGGAATGTCCGGTCCCTTAAATAGGAAGGTTCTGATGTCCAGCCGGTTTATGAACTCGGTATGTAGTACTCTATGTCTGGACCACCTGCTGCCAACAGTGACTGTCGTCATTAGTTTTCAAGCTTGATTGGTGTTTAGGCTAGTTTTTATATTGTTGAAGTCCTCTACGATTTCAAAGTTATGCCTTTCAAAAGGGGCGCATGATGAATATCTGGTCAGTGGCAAATTTGACAGGTCTGAGCCCACACTAAAGAGGTCCAATCAGTTTTTTAAGGACACATTTTAGTCTTTCACACAATATGTGAGATAATAACATGAACTCAGTATGTCCTGAACATTCACAAATGCTTCTCGATTCCTCCTATACTGTATACAGTTCCTCCTTTGAAGTTATCGGAAACCAACTTTTTTCTTTGTCAACAATACATAAGAAATTAGAAAATGCGTTGCAAAGCGGCGGCTTTTCAACGTCAAACCTTCCAAGTGATTGTTCGTGTACCTATCATAGGTGCTAAAAGAGAATCATCCGACTCAATATATAATGACTCCGGAGAGTATCCACCTCTAAAATACTGGAGACATGTTGTTTTTTATAATAGGCGAAAGCTTTTTGGATTTTTTATGCTGGTATATGGTATTACAAATAAAAATATTTCACGACCCGTCGAAGTCGGAGCCAGCCGCAGGCCATTAAGATCGGCTTCATCGTGGAGGCTCAATTTTCTGATTGATACTCCTAAGACACTTATTTAGCCCTCTTGAGCCATTCTCCCACTACGTTTACGACATCAAATTCGGGCTCCTTCGTATGACGATTGTATTAAATGTCAAAAGGATCCATACTCTTAATCCACTTACATCCTCTGTGTAGGCCTTTAAATCGTAGTCGTGACGAAGTGGTTACTGTCGTGCGGTGACACTCTTAACATGCTGTTGGGTATGTTGGGGTCGAGTCTGGATAGGTTGGAGTTTAACCTACTACAGTATCCAGACCTCAGTTATGCCCGTGTCCCGCGGGTCCTTCGAGGCAGCTCGAGCTCGTCGTCTGCGATAGGTAGTATTTTATATCTCACGGTATTGACTGACTCCTGGTGAATGGCGTTCAGTGCTTGTCTGCACTGCGTTGTTGTTGTTAATGTCGCAACCGCAAAAATATTCCCCGAAGTATTTATTGGGGAAAGTTGCCAGTAACTGCGTCTCGTTCATTCCCGGCGCCCAGATCGGTGCATCAAAGTTTACGACCGGCCGGCCAATTGCTTTATAAGTAGCCAGCAACGTTTCTTTGTCTTTAACCCAGGTACTGCCGGCTAGCGCTTTGAGTATTTTGTTGCGATTCTAGAGTTTTGCGACAATTGCGGTCGTATGTGGAGTGAAGGAGTGCAGGCTGTTTAGTGTCACTCCCAATATCTTTGGGTTGCTTACAGTCGGAATTTTTCCTTCATCAATCATCACATCTAGTTCAAGCCTATATTCCTTCGTTCAGCTGGTTAAGAGGGTAGCCGAGGATTTGGTCGGCTGTATTTCCAGTTGTCGTGCAGTGAAGAAGTCAGAAAGATCGGCGAGACAGCAGTTCACTTTCGAACAGAGATCATCAATATCCTGGCCAAACGCCATTATCCTGCAATCAGCGGCATACGAGGTTAGGGAAACTCCTTCTGGTGGAGGACACCACCCAGCGAAACCCTTGGTTTAATTTTTCTAGGCTTCGATGTATTACCTATGATTATCGACCACTCAGGTAGCCCATGACCCACCTCTGCAAACCCGGCGGTAATGAGGATTCCTCAATGTCCGTTAGTAGCGCTGAATGGTTGATTGTATCAAAAGCTTTTGACAAATCCAGTACTACTAGGAAGGTTTGCGCGCAGGGTCGGTTTTAATTAAGGCCATTAACTATCTGGGTATTTATGGCGTTTAGTGCTGTTGTGGTGCTGTGCACTTTTTGGAAACCGTGCTGATGTGCTGCTGGACGCAGATGGTGAGTAAATGTCGGGAGCAGTAAGTCCTCAAGTGTCTTCGCTGCTGGGGAGAGGAGAGTTGTCGGCCGATAAGACTCCTTTGTTACCTGGTTTCCTCGGTTTGAGAAGCGGGACCACCTTGCCTGTTTTAAACACGTAAATTCTCAAGACAGCCAGTTCTACGTACCGTAATTTACCCTAATTTTTTCCGGCCAAGGGCTGTCACCCTTTCGGCGACCTAATCCCGTCTAGGTCAACAGGTAACAAAACATTTCTTGTCGTAGTTGCTTTTCAGAGCTGCACCCATTTTCATGAAAAATTAGTAAGTGAAAATAAAAAGTTCGGAGAAATATTTTTCAATAATATTGCTTTTGTTAATTAGTAATCCGTCCTGTCGACCCAATTTTTCAGTACATTTTCGATTGTTTATCCCTCAATGGCTGTAATGGCGACTTTAATTGAGCTTGGCCGAAAATCGCTTCAGCGGTTACAAAGCACCATATATTTAATATTGTAGAAAGCTTGCAGCGTCTAAACCTGTTTCTCATGTATTATATTTTGTTTGTGTAATATTTTGAAATGGAAGCAATAGCAAGCAATCATATGATGTGACAACTTCACCGTCTATAATTCGCCTTGATCTTCACCTTGGTAAATATGACTTCAAAAATCGTGTACTGAATGTTTGACACATTGGGAACGTAATTGATTTTGAATAATTTTGAACATGCATTGAGTATGGTTATGCCATGCCACTAAATTGACTAGGATAAACATGAAATTGGAAGGCACATTATCTCTTTAGTGTCACTCACGAGTACTATTATTGGTCCGGGTTTTTAATCAGCTGTTAAGAAATGATAATTAAATAGCTACAAACTTTAATAAGTGCATTATCTGCTTTTCTCTCTTCTACAATAAATACGTTCTTTTCCTTGAATTTAATGTGCTTATAAACCAAAATAATGTTACGTTTTTAATTTATTTTTACAGAGACCTGCAAACAAATGAAGATTTACCATCGTCATTCAACATAGACCGACAAAATTTAGGTCATAATGATGAATTTTGATTTATGGCTACCATTAATAATTGTATATACTTAAATGGATACATGTTTTTTTTTTGTTTTTGCAATGCAAATTTTAGTCTATAGATGAATAAACAATAAGGAAAATAGCACATTCAATAATTTTTGCAACAACTTTACTGAAATAATTTCTGCGGTAAGTAAAGTGGAGATTTATGCATACATATTGGAAGGATAAGGAGGTAAAAGACAAATCCAGAGATGGACACTAATGCATCGGAAGTAGTGAGACAGTTCACCACATTTATACTATTCCGTTTTCATACACGAGTGTGTTTGTATACTCGTTTTCTTTTCTGTTGCTCTTTTCGTGACTAAACTGTTCTTCAAGTTTTGCCTTGGTATATACATATGTTATAAACAAAAAAACGCATAAAATTTGTTTTTGTTGTTGGTAATCGAGGGTTTAACTAATTTTTTGCAAGATTATTTCTTTACCGTTTGTCTTGTAATTAATATATTGTTTAATACTTAATTACTTAATGGATTTTCCCTAGGCCGTTTGAAAATCTGCACAACGTCGAGTAGAAATTTTGTGTGTCAATTTAGAATCGTCGAAGAAGAAGTGAATATATAATAGATGAAGAAATATTAGACTCAATCAAATTTTTAAATATAAAATAATTTGTAACATATATGAAGCTTAAGATTCTTGTATATCTTACGGAAGATTTTAGAAGGTGAGGGTCTTACTAATGCTTATCTGAACGGGGTAGAAGGGTTGGAAATTGAAATAAGCTTCGTAATTTGTGAGCAACCCTTATAAGAGGGGCGGCTAATAAGTTCGCGGCCTAAGGTAGTTAGAGAGGACATATCATCTTTTTACTGATAATACTAATTGTAGGACACACTATTAGAATAAATAACTCAACTTTTTTTTTATTAAGCCATTAACATTTCGTTCCTGGAACAGGCAACAACTGAAACTGGAATTTCTCGCAATTTGAAACACGGCGCTTCGATTAAACTCCTTGCATAAAGTACACCGAAAGAAATTTTTACAGAGATGTCGCGGTTCTTCAGGACTCTGTCCCTTCATATACGATGATGAAAAATGAGCTCTTTTTTTTCAACAAGATGACGGTCTTGACCGAAGAAAATGATCAGAAAGACGAAAAATTAGTACTGGAATTAAATTGTACCAGATAGCAGAAGGATTACAGATTTAAATATGAATGAGTCGTGGCAAGATGATTTGAATGAAATTTGCAACCGCATTGTATCAGTTGATTACCAAATAAGAAAATAGTGCCAAAGGGAACTACAATGAGCGGCCAGTATTAGGTTAATTTGTTGAGTCAGAAATGTGAGGCAGTCGTACAAAACAGACGTGACAGGGATGGAACCAACAGGCGAATGCTCTACCACTGCGACAACATCAGCTACGTAATCTATTGTATTATTCAATTGGTGAGCACCAATTATTAAGTGCGCTAATTTAGCCGCTATTTTCTTAATAGCGTGGTTAGTAAGTTGTTTTGTAAGCCTGTATATTTTCAGGCATTAATTGACGGTAAAATGTATAAGCAGGATTAAGTGACAGGCTCAACTTACATATATATTCGTAATTGTTTTTGTGGCCTGTACTACCAGCTTAGGTGAAGCTGGCTGACCCAGTGGGTCTCACATATATGAAATACATCCATAGTGTTACCAGGCACACATACAGCGGGCATTCACCTGTTAAGTGCTATACTCTTTCCATACACTCATTGCATTTTCTACATTTGTAGTCCCCAGTCGACCCTATATAAAACGCGTGAGAGGCCAAAAGGCAATGCCCTGTTAACAGCCCCATCAGCACCCTAGAGTTCGGTTTCTCAACAGATAGACAAACTTTGTGAGTTGGACGAGTTTGAAACGAGTTTGCATACGGGTACGTCATTCTCCCTTCGTTTCCTTGTGTATTTTCGTCATTCTTGTCGGGCAAGCAGAACACAGCTGAGAAACGGCAGTGATACCAAAAGAAAACAATATTGACGTAAAAAACGCAGCTGCAGCGAGCTGCAACGAGTGACAGCAATGATATTCCTTACATAAATTCATAGAATTATTAAGATAAAGTCTTTATTTCAATATTAAAGAGTCCGTTATAATCGCGACTCTTTTGAAGTACAAAGACGTTAAATAAAAAATTAATGTTCGAATCATAATGTTATTAATGTCTAAATGCAGTTGTACCTCGCCGAGTTTTGTTGAATATTTAAAAGGTCTGCTGCTACTGCAAGGTGAGAAGCATCCATTCCAGGCAATCTGCTCCATTAACTAAATTTTCCCTTATAATATGAGGTGCTCTTAAATAAAAATAATGTAAAGACAGCTTGTATGGGAACATTATTTATATTTTCCATTTTTTTACGTTCTCTGTTATCTGCTACGGAGAAACCGATATAAAATGGCGTTCTACTCGAAAATAAGAACATAAATAAAACGGATAAGCCGTTCAACTGCATTCTTCTTCAATTTGTATGTACCCTGAAGAGAAAGATATGCAAAAAAAAAAAGGTTGATTATGCTAGTTCTTACATTTTGGAACTCGTGCAAATAAGTTGCTTTTCGGTGAAATGGCTAAAATATAATTCAGATCAAAAAAATAAGTAATATAATGTGTGAAAACAATACTTAGCGCAAAAAACTAGCCGTCCGTCGTCGGCCGTTGTTGCTAAGAATTTATGATGAAATAAATCATCACAAACCTTAGCAATGGGCAGCTTGCATTTGTTTGCGCATCCATAAATTTGCCGATGCATTTTGGAACATGATTCATCGTTAAAGTTTGCACAGTTGCATTTAGGAAAGTGTGACAACTGTATAAATGGTTACTTTGCAACTGACGTTTTGGAACTCACCCTTTAGTATTGTATGTTTTACACTATGATTCAATAATTAAAGGTTGGATAATGGGAAGTAGAGGATACAGGCTCCGCTTGAATGGTAAGTTAACCATTGACCAAATATTCACCATGCGGCAAATTTTGGTAAAGACACATGAAAAGGTCGCATTCGACGCCACGAATAGGAGATAACTTTACGCCGCTATGAATTTGGTATCCCAGCAAAACTTATACGACTATGTAAACTGACGTTAAGCAACACGAAAGCTCCGTCATGATTGGGAAGGATCTCTCCGAGCCGTTCGATACCAGACGAGGTATCAGACAGGGCGATTCCTTATCGTGGGACTTTTTTAACTCATTGCTTGAGAAAATAATAAGAGCTGTTGAGTTGAATAGAGAAGGTACAATCTTCTGTTGACGTACGCCGATGATATTGATATTATTGGCGTCAACAACCGCGCCTTGAGTTCGGTGGTGCCTACGCCAGTATAGCAGAAGAACATTCCCAATTGAAGATCTACTACTAGATTTATGTAGAGATAAATTGTATGGCTATTTCCACAAAGAAGGCAATAAATTTTGATTTAATAAAGCATTGAATATTTTCTTTAATGTATACATATATAATATATAAACTCAGCACAAAATTTAAGTACACTATTAGGGATATTATTCAGACCACATGTGAATGGGCTCTTAAAGGCATTAAGATGGTGATAAATAACATCATCGGATATAAGTGGTACTTTTAAGCAACCAAAAAAACGCCATATGGAAGGGTAAATTAATGGCTGCGAGTCTTAAGTTTTGACTGACAAAACTATAGAATGACTTCAGATTTGACTTTTTATAGAGCTTGAATAATTTAGTCTTCTTATTTTTCAAGCTTTTGAATTCTTTATTAAACCATAAGGCATTTTAAGCACGGATCGGCTCATTTGTTATTGGACCGAATTTTCCGAAAGCAGAATGTAAAATACGACAATTTTTTCAATTTTAAAAAGGTATTGGATATTTAAAGTTGGAGGGAGCATCTAAAGATTATTCGAGAGATGCATGATAACCATCTTCGGGCAAAACGAAACGTCAAGGCGGCTTGAAGAAATTGACGAAACGTCATCCGAAATTATTAGATCCAAAGTTTTTTCAAAGTAATTCTGGATCATATTTATTTGAAAAAACCCAGAGTAGGAAGCTCATTTATGAAATCATGAGCATTATTCCGAGTTGAGTTAGGTACCAGTAAACTGTCATTAATATTCCATGATACAAGGGATAAATTGAAGTCGACCATCACAACAGCATTAACAGATGTCTTAGTAATGGAAAATAATGATTTTTAACATTGACGAATGGAGTAACTGAAAAAGTCAGAATTTGGTTGGATGTAACTGGCGACAATATATAGTAAATACTTTATTTATTAAACGTATTTTAATAAAAAAAAATTCCATCTCTTCCGATTTCGCATTATAAATTTCTTCCGCAGCAAGATCAATTTGAACATCAATGAATATTACAAAGCCAATTTTATTTAAACTTTCATCTGGTTAGGATTTGTTGAAAAACAGTAAGCGCAAAACCACAAATTGGAGGAAGAGCTCCGCCGAAAAATGCTTCAGCGGTTACAGAGTATATCTATTTATTTGATATATATATATATATATATATATATCATCTCTTAAAACTTCAAAGTTTCTCCCTAAGATTTCAGAGTTGAAGGCATTTGGTTTCTGTAGTACTTTGGCTCAGAGAAGGCAACAGGAAGTTGAGCAAGATTGTTACAAATATTTATTGACTCAAATCAAACTCTTGAATAAAAGCACCATTCGGCCAAAATGATGAGTTCAAAAGTACGTTAAAGCAGTCAAGGGAAACATCTGTTTTAAAGGAAGTTATCTATGCTTTATGGGAGATGATGAAACTGGCTGGATTTAATTTGCCTGATATATAGGATGGGACGTCATCCGCAGTTGTATCTTATGCAAACCGCGATACAAATACGGACTTCCTTTTCGGAACCAAATCTAGCTCTTTTCTAGTTGTGGTTAAGTTCGAGGGAGATTCTAATGGAAGTATACGCCCTTAAACCGAATAAGTCGGAGAGAATCCACTGAAGCATTCCTCTGTTTTAACCATGACAAGAGGCTACAAGTGCTGCTCATGGCTTCAGTGCGCACGACGTGGTGGCAGGTCGACATACTTCAGAACGCACAAGAAAATGGGTGCTCATTAGAACGTGTAGAAGCGACTACCTGAGAACGAATGAACCCGAAATATGTCGGTCTGGGATCTGGTCAGAAAAAGTATTACGCGCAAGTTTTGTATGATGGGATTTAAGAAAGAGATCATGTATGTGTAGAAATTCAAATCTTGGAAAAGACCCGTTTAAAGATGATCGACACACATCACATGCTCGAAATCTTATACGGCTGTAGAAACTGACGCTCGAGAATTCCAAAAGCGCAGTCGGAAATTATTAAGAACCTCTCCCAGACGTTCGGTACCTAGCAAAGTTTCAAACGTTGAGGCCCTTTGTTGAGTGATTTCTTCAATCTGAGCTAGAGAGCTACTACCGATTATATTGATATCATAGGTTTCAACAACCACATCGTTAGTTCTACTTTCTTCGGTTTTAATAAAGAAACGAAATGATTAGTTCTACTTTCTCCGGACTTGATAAAGAAGTGAAATGAATGGATCTGGTAGTGAGCGAAGACGAAAGGATATTATATCTCCATTCATCAAACAAACAGGTTTCACTTGGTACTTCTGACTATCACCAAAGGGCAAAATGAAGAGATGAATGGCGCGCTCATGTTGATTCGGCTATAAGCGGCGCCTACGCCAAAAAAGAAGATATACAAAAAGAAGTTATATCGTGGACCTTTCTCCTAGAAGCAGTAACACATGTAGTGGGTTCATACTGATTGTTACATTGTCATCCCATAAAATGAAATCTATTATCAGGTGTTTGTGTCATTGGTGCTGTTCGATGGTTCAGGATGTTTCGTTTCCACTACGTTCAAAAATTTTCAATCCCGATCGCACTAGGCAAAGGATGAAGGGTAGCCTCATTCGTAGACTCATTCGTCTTCTGCTTCCTTAGACTCATTCGTCTTCTGCTTCCTTGTTTTGATTTTCAATCTTCCATTTGCATGTAACTGGCGCTTTTTAACGGTTGATAGTTTTTTTATGAGGAGGTTTATTTCATGTCAGAAATACACTCGGAGGGCTTGACATTCCCTGTCGAGGGCGACCGCAATTAGAAAATTTATCTTAAATTATTATTTTAATTAATTTTCTATAACTTTTGGATATTGGTCGTACGGGGATTTGAACCCGAGCCTTCCGAAATGGCAGTACGCAATGATAAGCACTCGGCTACCGCGGCACCGCATGATTAGTTTTGGATTATAAGCGGAGCTTATCGCAAGCAGAGTTTTGTAAAAATACTCTCCCAAAAGTGGTCCAGTCAATCTTCTTCCTACTTCTATAAGCAGCGATCTTATGGTCAGATTTAAATATATAAAAAGGGTGATTTTTTAGCTATTATTTTTTTGGCACCATTGGTTAAAACAGCTGACGCGGGTTTAGTGCTTCGTATCACTCAAATTTAACCATGACTAGTTTTACAAACGAACAACGCTAGCGAGTTACTGGAATTTATTATTAAAATGTATGCTCTGTTAAGCAAGTTCATCTCGAGCTTCTCCAGTTCAGCGACAAAGCTCAGTTTTGGCTTAAAGGGTGCGTAAATAAGCAGAATTGTGGATTTTGGTGTGAAGATCAGCCAGAAGCATTGCAAGAGCTACCAATGCATGCAGAAAAAGTTCCAGTTTATTGCGGCTCATGGGCTGGTGCAATCATTAGACCGTACTTCTTTAAAGATGATGCAAATAGTAACGTAACTGTGAATGGTGAGCGCCACCGTGAAATGATGTCAAACTTTTTTTCTCAAAATGCAAGAGCTTGAATGGCATGACATATGGTTTCAACAAGACGGTTGACTGCTTACTCACAAGTTATGAACTGGTCAGAAAAAGAGTATGAAAGTAATGGACTGGACTATGTTTTACATATTAAGAATGCAAGCACTGGTCGCAATATTATCTGAAGCGATACCGTTTGCTAAGTACGTCAGTCCGGATGTCCTCTACCTACTACCCAAGGTTTCTGTACTAGTCCTGAGATGTTTTTAGCTCCATGGCCCTAATCGTGTAAGTGGTGAATTCGCCAGTAAAGAAGAAGAATATGCGTACGTCTTCAACTTTGCGATTCCGCCCTCTGTTCTGTCTAGTTGAGCTTAACATACAGTTGTGGACAAAGTTCTAGAGGTATGCTTAAATCTCATTATCTCTGCGATCTTATCTTTCCGTCTTCTTCTATCTCTCTCTGAATTCTGTGCTGTCTTTGACCAAATTATCTTCTTCACTCCCGGTTAGGGGAACAAGAATTTATTATTATCCTGACGATTGTAAAATATCTTAATTGCAAAGAATTCACAATTTTCTTAATTATACACCGCTGTGCACTATACCTATGTAGTCGCCACCGAGTTCACTTTGTAACCGATCTGACTTGTGTTGGCCGCTCACTCACATTCAATGGTACTCATAATCAGTTCTAGAAGTTTCTGGCATGCTCTCATGATTTACAGAATATTCGATACTTGGGCCAAAACGACTGTCGTGGCGAAAGTGTAAATACTTGAATAACTAATTATTCATAACTTAACAACATTAATACGAGTATATAAACACATAAGAATTTGACATATATTAGATGCATAACAATAACTCCTCCAAGTTGTATTACGATTGGTCAATTAGTTTGTTTGAAACGAAAATTGCTCCAGTAAAGCAAAACTCAGGTAAAAACACAATTAAAGGGTGCTTCATTTAGTAATAAAATATTCAAAATTGCTCTGTTTTGACAGTTCTCACAGCAAGCGAAGCATCTTCGATGTATAGAAGAATTTAAAGTAGGTGAGGACTAGCTGTTATTTACAAATATATATGTAAAATATTGTGTTTGTTTTTTTGCAAAATTTGTATATTCTGGAGGTGTCAAATAAATGTAGAAATGAGTAAATATGCTTTTTTGATTTTAAATTTTGTTGTAATCAAATTATTAATTTCAGGCTGTGAAGATAAAAAGGATTTAGCTAAATTAGAAGGGCAAATAAGTCTGTTGAAACAGGAGCATGCCAAGCTTCAACTTGCCTATGCTGAACTAGATAAGAAATATAGGGAAGAAGTTTCTACGTTACCGGTAGGCAACGAACATATAAGCAGTTTTGTGTCTAGTTTAATGAAGACTGTTGCAAGTCTTTATAATAACAAACTTTATTCCGATATAAATGTTAAAATCGGCGGTGGAACTAAACCCGCCCATAAATTTGTTTTACATTCACGATCAGAAGATTGGACCGAAGAAATTTTAAATTCTACCGGAGAACTTGACTGGAGTAGTATTGAAGAAGATATCGGAATTGCGTTATTACGGTGGATTTATACCGACGTTGCAGAATTGGAAAATGATACAATTGCTTTGGGACTTTTGCGTGCATCGTATTGTTTTAAATTACCCGGATTATTAGTAGTATGTGAGCGTGCTTTAGTGAAATCGGTTAATATCCGTACATGTGTAAAGTTTTATTGTGTTGCTGAAGAAGTAGGTGCAATGGTACTATTGGAATATTGTTCTAATTTCATATCTACACATTGGGATGATTTTACTTCACAAGATTTTGACGATATGTCGGCGCCGCTGTTATACAAAATATTAAATAGCAAAACTAAATATCCCCTTCATGCTGCCGTGCGATTGTTAAGAGAAGATGTCGTTTCCTTATTTTTATCAGAAAACAGCAGCAAAGTAAGTATAACATCTGATAACTTAAAAAATAGCTAGAAATTAAATGCAGGGCGTAAAACTCTTTACTCAGTTTTCACCCAACAAGATTCAGTAGAATTTAGCCAACAAGTTGTAGAACAGCTGTCTGTTTTGGCACTTACATATATATCAATCTGTTTATATTCACAGTTTATTGTTTATATAGAAGGATGAAATATGAAATAAAATTGGAAGTCTTAGAGCAAGCCATAACGGAACATTGTTGAATTTCAATGATTCTTCTTGAATAAATCCAATCTTAATAAAAAAGAGCTTTCTTTTCATGCATTATCGTCACTGTGATCATAGCAACAATCTTTTTTCATAATGTTTTGCTATCCATTAGGTCGCCACAACTTTCTAGTAAATTAAAGAAATTCAAAATCGGCTTACATTGTGAAAAAATAACGATATATTCAACTTTCAATTCCTACCAGATTTTCGTTGACACTTATTTTCTTTACCTTAACGGTCTGTTGTTGCTATTGTTGTAATCACAAAAGAAATCCCCAAGTTTTTGGGGATTGACTATTGGATTTTAGTCGGCTCTTACGACACGCATGCCTTACCGCGGGTAAATTCTTGAACCCTTAACCCGCAAGGGGAGGAAGATAAAATTGGTATTTCCTTATGCTTTTTTTCGATAACTATTAACCAGGGACAGAAAATAAGAGTGATTGCATAATTTTTACGAAGGGTGGTATATATGCATACGATGTAGAAATATCAGTTTATGTTATTTTTTAGGACTACACATAAATTTCAAAATATATATAAGAAGCGATAAATTAAAATCATCTTACAACTATTCACTAAGAGCACGAATATTTTACTCACAATATAATTCTTACTTTATGATCTGAAGTAATATAATCACATAAATTTTATGTTTTGATGAAAAAATATATGTTATTGTGAGAGTATTGCTAAAGAAAAAAATAAAACTCTTCGCGTAACTATTATTCTGTGAGCAATAAATGACTTAGCAAATAATAAATTAAAATCAGAATATAACTATTATTTTGTGAGGAAAAAAAAAAAGAATTGAAAAATAATTATTAAGCTTAACTTTTTGTCCATTTTCTCATAACTGTTGCTGTCCCTGCTATCGGCAGCTATTGAAACAAGAATTTAAACAAAAAATGTTACCCCATCTTTTACTTCTTATTTACATTATATTAAAAACGAGAAAAAAACTTACTACAATTTTAATTTATTCTCTCCCGTCAAATGTATTCATTTGGTACGAATTACGAGCCAGCGTCGCTGATGTTGGATTTATGGTAGTCTTGGAAACATGCAAAAATAAATTCTCTGTTGTTAGTAAAAAAGTTTAATAACGGTATTTTCTGATAATTCTAAAACATGTTAGTTTTACCGTGAAGAGCAGAAATAACACTAATGGATTTCGATCCCATGTAAAATTATAGTTGAGTTTCAAAACGTCGAAAATTACAATGCAACCCTATATTTCATAAATTTACAAAGCAACAATACTTTGCAAACTGACATTATGGAACGCTTTTGGTTCAAATGCAAATGCGTCCACTTTTTATATAAAACAGATCAAATAATAAGTAATATAATAATAAAAAGTGCAACTATTACCCTTCATCCGTCGAGTATTTAAAGAATTTTAAAACTTAATTGTTGAGAGAAGTAAGAATAGTTTTTTCGATGCGAAAAAGTGAGTCTGGGAGATCGAAGTTGGTGCAATGAAGATTAAAATTGTTACACAATCGCCGAAAGGGTTCATTTATATGATAATTTGTTTTTACATGACCATAATAGTAAAAGCCTAAACTGCCTATATACACCAGTTGTTTGAGTTGGAGAAGGTTGAACAAGTCTTCGCGAAAAACACACTTTCAAACAACAGGATATTTGAATGCTTTATACCGAAGAGGATACTTGGCTGAAAGCACAGAAGATCTAAATTATGGATGATAATTGAGTGATTAACCCTATGTGACACAAATTCAATTTGTAAGTGTTGATTTTCCTTTACAAAACGCGTGTTGGGAAATGGATAGTAGTGAGGTTTGTTTAGTAATGACTGCCTCAAAATGCTGTGGTATATCGGATATTTATGCCATACCTCTATAATTCTCAATATTAGACCTACAGTATGTTAAGAAACAGTTTAAACACTGAAAAAAATAATTTTTTTTTGCTTTACGTGAAAAAATCATAGGTTTTTGTTTTGTTTAATGGATTTTTTTTTAGCGCAAAACAAAATTATAATATTTTACCATTTGCACGAAAGTGTTCCAAAATATCAAAGTTTGCAAAGTAATGTTGCAAGGCAAATTTATAAAATGCAGCGTTGCATTGTAATGGTACAGTTACGAACCCGCATCATTACAAAGGCTGCAACTACCCAACTCATTTACCAGCCGTCCATAACTGGCTACGTCGAGGCGAGATAAACACACGAGTTATCGACGCCGCTGAGAGCGGAGAAATGTTGCCAGCTGCCTGTGTGTTTGCACACTTTTGAACAAATTCATAATTTTCGTCAACAAATTTTATAATTTATTTGCTTTAAGAAATGCTATACTGGCAACCTTGTATAGCTATAGCAACGAAAAATGAGCCGAGCCGGTTTTACGGAAAAAATCAAAACTTCGTTGGTTTCTGCGACACAAACGTCACCAACGCTTTGGGAAAGCGGTGATAACTTTGTGTTTACATGGCGCTCTCATAAAATAGGTTACTATGGACGGCTGATACGCGCGTTGGGTAGTTGCAGCCGCAGCCAAAGTATGTTGACGTTTTGGAACTCGCCCGAACCGTGTACACATTCTGTTTCTAATTCTCTCTCGCTCTTGTTTTTGACTAAAGAGCTAATTAACCGTTATCTATGCTTCTGTAATGTTGTTGAACGTAAGCAATGTTGACAGACGGACAAACCGATTCGAGAGTTAGTCGAATAATTTGATTTAAAAAATTTAAACTGTCGCATTACATAGTAGATTTGTATTTCATGGCGGTTGGAGTTAACAAAATCGTAGAACCGCTTTGGATTGTGTAAAATATTTTTCTCAACTTTGGCATTACATAGCCAAAGTAGTTATAATATGTTTTGTTTACTTCAAGAAAATTTCGATGAAGGGACGGGACGAGTATTTTAAGTAATGTAAGTTTAAGCCACTTTCCTTGAAAATCTTAAAAGCTTTTAACCTTCGCTGGCAGAACAAGTGTATCGCTTCTAATAACAAACAATTTAGAAGCATTATCAGCAAACACCAAATCTTAATTCTTACCATAGTGGTTAGGAATTATATTAATTTGATTGAGGCACACATCGGACAGTTCTTCCAAAAACTCATTTACACAGCATCGATGTTGAAGATTTTCCTATAAGGGGCAATGAGGCAACAGGTATTTATATTAAATCCATATTTGAGAAGAATGAATTGAGCCATTGGAAATAGCGTCAACAATTCTCAAAATGAAAAACAAACAGTTTTAAAGCTTAAAAAATTTTAAGCATATGTTTAGGCGCTATGTAGCGAACTGTTTTAAATGCACTAATCTTGTCACTTAAAAACACACGCAACAGCTGTGTTTACAGAGAACACTTGCATGTTATGTTTAAAAAAAAAACATCACAAACCTTAGCCACGCGCAGTTTTTTTATTTTTTTGCGCATCAATAACTTTACCGATACATTTTGGAACATGATATATCATCAAAGTTGCGTTAGGAATGCGTAACAGTGTATGGTTGATTTGCAACTGACGATTAAAACTCATTCGATTCGTCTGTCCGCCACCAGAATTTCGAGATTGATATAAGATATGCGATAACTTTACATCGCCACTGGAATCTGAGGAAGCGTTTATTATCTGAGTGCCATCTCCATCTTTATTTTCTGCAGTATCAGTGTCACATAGACCTTCCAAAATCAACTCTCCGTCGAAACAAACCTTGGCCCGACTTATTATTTCTACTGCAATGCCACAAGCGACTTCACCATTCCTCTATTTCGGTTAGATGCCATCAGTGCAAAGGCTGGAGTCATCTTAAGGTCTGCTCAAGTCTTAAGACACACAAGGAGTGGTATACGGCAGTGTCTTCAGCACCCGTACTCACTCTGTCCTGGTCTTATAGAGCTCTCCACAGCATGACTCCCAAACGTTCCCCTGAGACAGACAAGACAAGACCGTCAATTTAACAATATCATCCACAATGATTTCGAGCATTTCGACAATACCGTGCAGTATCGTGTTATTGATGTCGACATCGGCTGCTAGAGGTGTGCGTGGTGTACTTGGTTTGGCTGCTGCAATATTGCAGCCATTGTGTTGTACTCTACCCACAAACTTTCTCTTTAATAAACAAAACCTTTTTGGTTTACATAAAATTATTTTATGGTTTTCAATAATTTTGTGTATAATATTCAGAGAAAATGAAACTGCGATTCCCTATACTATTTATATGAAAAATACGCACAACAGCAAAAATGCAGTGGGTGCAGCGTTATCCTGTGCCCATTTGATTAACGCTTTGCTTTAACAAGCAGAGAGGAGGTATTGCTTTTTTCCAACTTTCGTTTCAAGCATCTCTCTCAAACTACGTATTTATTTAAAAAGTTCACTTGTTTCATTAGTTAAAATTTTAAGATTAGGGAATGTAAGAAAGGTGAGAAAGGTCGCCTTTTACGTATATGCAACAACACACCGGATAAGGTATATGAGCAAAATGAATAGAGCAAGTAAGATTTTTGTATAATAATGTATAATATGTATAATACCTACATAAGAAATAGCATTTTTAGTTCCCTGAACTAAAAAAAAGTCTAGACAAGAGGGTATTAGAAAAGGGTTAAAAATTATCGTTTATTGAAAATATTCAAAAGCGGAGAAAAATGATTATTTATAAACGCAAAGTATTGAATAGATATCTCATTGATAATAACCAAAGTTTCTGATTCAAACGTATTGAAAATAATAAATTTAAGGGCAAAAATCAGGCAAAGTTTTTATTTTTTTTGTGGGAGAATGAAAAACCGTACGAACTTCCGGTTTTGACTATTAAATTGTTTTATTATTTGAGATTTTAAAACAGCAAAAAAATAGTAGAAATTTAAAATGGCGGCTACAAAATGGCGCTGTGCGAAAAACATCGCCCAACAACTTCAAGTCTGCAGCCTCTGAAATCATCGTTGTCATTGCATGAAGATCATGAAATTTACGTTCTGAACATCAATTGAAACAATTTTATCAATAAATTTATTGCATAATGCTCATTGCAATAATAAAGTTAAATTTTTTTTGCTACTTCTTTTCACTTCAATTATATTAAAAAAATATAAATAATTAATTATTAATGCTAAATTTATGTTCAAGACATACAAAAAGCTATATGGATAATGGATAAATCAAGCCCCAGGCTTGAAGTTGGATTAGAAAACATGATTTCGAGAAAATTTTGTATCGTATTGCAAAATCCCTTTAAACACATACGCTACAAATATATGGCTTTAATTTTTGGAGTAAAAACCGTTCCAAAATCAGCGAAGGGTCTCCTTAAGTAATTACCAAAAGATTATAAAGAAAAAACAAAAATAAACATTTAAAGCATAAACCCAGATCACACTTTTCGCAGCAAGTGGTTACGTCGGAGATGGAGCAAATTCCTAGACATCTGGTATAACAGAAATGATGTGGTCATGGCGATCATAACGGAAAAAGTGATCTTCTTGAGTTTTTAGATTTCGGAATCCACAAGGCAGTTTTCGCAAACTCAGCGTGATACAATAATATTATGCTATAGTTTTACGTTTTTTACAGCCTATTGATTATTTTTCCTAAAAAAGATGTGTTTTTTAAAAATACAACAAAAGAAGTCGTTATGAACTTACGTTTTTCAACCGTTCCGAATGAAATTTTCCATTTTCGAATAGAACTCACTGTCGCATTCGCATTAAGTAGTAACTTGAATTTGACAGCATTCGGATTGAAATGCTATTATAGGATTACGTAGTAACATTTATTCGAATTCAAACATTTTTTCTATCAAATTGCAACATGTAGTAGGGGCCCAGGCTTTGGCGCTTTGTGACCGCTAAAGCTATTTTTGTCCGAGATCCTCCTCCAATTTGTAGTTTTGCGTATTGATGTTTTTCCAACAAATGGAGGGACCTACAGTTTATACTAAGCCGCCTCCTTTATTTCATGTCATAAATACACTCGGAGGGTTTGACATTCTCTGTCGAGGGGCGGGCGCACTACATTTTAAAATATATGTAATAACCGAATATATTTTTAGTACTATGTCTTATATCCAAAACGTTACGTCATGCGCCGAATAACTGTTTGCATTTATGACGTCCATAGTATTCTACCATAGACCAGTCTTAAAATTTTTCAGGAACTTGATTTTCTGTATATCAGTTAGTGGCAGCACTTTCCAGATTTTGTCATCAATGAAATGAACGTCATGCATCTGACACCAAAGGATTATTGGTACCCTTTTTGATCGAGCACCATAACTCCTATTACCGCTTTTATTTCAGTTACGGTTGCATTTGGATTTTGTGCACCATTCAATACCGTCTAATGCTGCAACTACCCATCTTGCATATCCTCTCTGAATAATGCAAAAAATACTCGTGTTTGTATATTCTATTATATTACAGTTGGATGTTATGGCTGTGCGGTATATAAGAGGGGAATTGCAGCGTAATACATCTTAGCTCAAACAATTTCAAAAATTATACTATTTGTTTTCATTTGTTTCTGTGCTCGCAGAAGGCTGGGTCTATTTATAGGTGATCTTTTTGAATAAATTCTTTAAAGCATCTGTTATAAGCGCTTTGGTTTTCTCTTCTGGTACGCCTTCAGCAAGTGTTGTCTTCCGACCGATACTCTAATTTACATGGAGCCATTAATTGGAGGTTCATAAGACAATTTGATAATTTCATCATCTAAATCTAATAAACTGCACCGTATCTTGTAGAGATAAATTTTTTCTAGAAAAATTAGAAGAAAACTTAAGATGCCCTTATTCCAAACAGTGTGAATAAATATTTGATCTTTGTTCGCCACAGTTTTAGGAGCCAATAAAGGTAATTATTAGGACACAACGGAACATTTTATTATGTTATGGTCTAATTAAATATTTATTACTTTCAAAAACATGTATGTACATATTATAAATATAATGGTGCAGAATAGGAAAGCTTTACCGGCATAAAATAAAGTTAAAGATATTTTTAATGATAATAATAATTTACATTTACCTTAAAAGAACTAAAGCTATCCAAATCTAATTTGCTGAATTCAGCACTTTTAAATTATCAATAAGGCTCTTCTTAATTTAACTTTCGAGTAAAGTAGATTAAAACCAAGGCGATTTCGCCTTGATTAAAACTATTTCATTTTAATATTTTCGTGTCATTCCAACTTCATTTTGTTTTCGAACATGAAATTCTGCAATGTTGTATGCACCTTATCCTACATGAAGATTTAGTGGAGGGCTACAGAACGGGTGATAAAGCAAAGTTGTAACAATTGGCCAAGAACAAATTAACTTAACGATAATGTCCTCTGCCTAACATGATCAACACCCATATGTATGTCTTAAATGCATTTCAAGTGACCTCTGGACACTAATAACCTCTTTGCCGCTTTTACCAGGCTACCTAATGTCATTCCCCCTGCGAATTATCTATCAAAATATACCATTACCTTTTTTCAGCTAATTGATCTTGTAGAAGTTTATTAGCTCATCCCCTTGACTGCTGCGAAATCTTTCTTTGTATTTTATTTCTCAAATTCAAAAAATATTTTATCGTGCTAGTTGTGATTTCTCTGCTATCTCTCGATCCTTCGACAAGCCCAAGTATCATTTTCCACAACAAACTTATCTGCCTTTAGTATTCTTTTCCAACAATATTATCTCTCTTACAATTATCTCTGCTTCTGCTTCTTTTTTCACGGAATATACACGCACGGTTTCTCCATTACATTCAAAGGTGTAAATATGGTTGAGTCATCCAGGTTTTGTCATTTTTCATATCATTTAAACGCATCAGCCGTGATAAGCTGCTTGTCGAGGAATTTAAAGGATTTAAAGAGAACTTCGTTTTTTTTTTTTTTGTTGAAAGATTATTTAAAACCGAAATAGTTTTTCAACCAGAAAATTAGTGCGCTGAAAATGAAAAGAGATTCGAAAAGAAAACTTTTCATTTTGGGTGCTTCGCAAAAGTAGTGATAAGTTAAATTTTATTGTTCGAAACTAAGCTTCAAACACCTGATGACCGCTAGTAACACAAAAATTTGATTGAGACGAATGCAATTTGAGTTACAGTTGCTCCATCATTGCTTTATTACCCGTCCTGAATCCCTTGGCCAAAGTTTAATGCACATTAGTTTAGGGAAAACTACATATCTGAAACTGTAATCAGTTTTCAAAACAAGATAATTTCATGTACGAAAACAAAATAAAGTTAAATTGATCATTTGCTATGCATATATAATATTATTATTTTTTTTTTTTTAATATCAAATATATATTATAATTATAATTTATAATAAATAACACAGAAAATCAAGGCTATTAAGTATAAGTCAGCATGAGTTGTTTTCGGTCCAGAATTACATAAGTCACCCCGACAGTAGCAGTAAGTTTTTACCGTCGGCGTCAAATGGTTTTCCGTAAAATCAATACATCCTTCATCGTATACCTCTTGCACGGAATGCTCTTGTTGCCATCTTCGGTTTTTAAACACCTGAAAATATATAATTCACAGTTTTATAAGAAATTAAATATGATCAGTGTCTTACTGTAAAAATAAGCTGTGTTCGTTGAGAAAAGTCAGTGAAAATCAGCTACTAACAAAATTAACAGAATAACATGTCTTACTCTCTCAAAGAGAGAAATTTACTGAGTTTTCAACGATTCAGTAAAAATTAGCCAGTAAGTTGTATAACAGCTGTTTATTTTGTCGGTTACATTTGAATCAATTTGAATCATTTATATAGTTTATTTTTCTGTTATTAAATATTTTAATAAATTTGGCAATTTCATATTATTTTTAATTTATTAATTGTATCCTAAATTTATTGTATTTCAGCAATTATGAAATTCTACATGCTTTATACCCATACAACGATAAAGATACCAATATGAAAGTTCTCTAAAAGTACGATATTTATGTAAAATTTGCTTTGCAACAATTTGTCGCTTAGTTGTTGAGTAAAGATGACACATTAACTTAACATTATTATGGAGTTTATTTTTTTCTGTTTAAAAAGCAAGCAAGAGTTTTATTTTTCCCTTCATTTTGTGCATCGTTGTCGCTTCCGGAAGCTTAAGAAAGAATCCATTATCGTCACTGTGACCGTAGCAACCACCTTGCTTTGCGGCTAATCTGGCAAAAAAATAATAATGTATTATAATTCTATGCCTTAAACATTCCATTCGTACTTGCTAGTTTTTACTGTGTCAAATTTTCCTGGCACGATTGACTAACTAAACGTAAAAATTGCGCTCTCTTATTGCCAATTTTTAATGAGCTTTTGCCTCAACGAACAACGATCCAGTTAAGTTTTGTAAACTTTGTTACTGCCTATCTGATCAACAAACAGAACTATATATATTAGCTATAGCCGACCTCACATTAGTAAAAAATTAAATTTTAAGGGCTTTCAAACAAAAAGTTTCATTGTATTCTGCAAAAATTCCTTATGTAGTAATTAATGGTCGAATACCTGCTATAATTAATTCTAATCTTCGCTGGCCTTCAAAATTTTCGTAACTCTGTCGAAATTTTAGCTTTGTATAGAATTTTCAGTAGATATATTATATATTATAATAGAGTTTAACAAATGTTTAACATTAGTTCTGTCCGGCGACTAGGTGGGCAGTACCAATTTTTACCAAATTTTACTTGAACCGTGTTCCAACAAACCAAAACTTATTTAAAATGAAAATAATTTTAATTCTTTAATATGAATGATACACTAACACAATAAGTGCCCAAATTGCAGTTTTGTTAAAAGAAATTATATTTCAGGAATGTTGAACAGAATTGAATATATTATTACTTTAACAACGCAAGTTGATTTTTGATTTCTATAATTTAGTAGAAAGCCGTGGCGTAGCAAAGTTGCTGCAATGCAATATTAAGTTTCCGGATGCGACGATGATGCACAAAATTAAATATTAGTCACGTTTAAAAGGGAAAATAGAACTCTTGCTCGGATTATATTTAACAGAATCGAAGAAACTTCTAAAACATACTGGTATATTTATCGTTGGATGGCTCTAAAGCATTTAAAATTTCATCATTGTTGAAACACAATAAATTTTAAATACAATTAATAAAATTTAAAAGTCATATAATTGCCGATTTCATTAAAATACAGAAAAAATAAACTATTAATGAACTGAGTCAAATACAATATAAGCGCCAAATTAAACAGGTGTTGTACAACTTGCTGGCTAATTTTTACTGGATCCTGTTCGTCTAAAACTCAGTAGTGTCTTTCATTCGAAGAGTAAACCATTTTGCTCTATCAAGTTTTTACTGACATTTCTCAACGAACACTGCTATTATCTGTTAACGATTTAACATTACCGTCAGCATTTCGTTTCTGGTAAAAAGGAACTGCCCTAACATTAACGTTCTCAAACCCTTAACCCTTTACATAATAGTACGTCCTACTAATCTCTCGGCTACTGCGAGCAAATTTTCGGGTTTATTCGTGGAAATCATTGATAATTTCTTCCCTTTTTCATCATAGCATTTGTTTTTGCTTCTAACCTCTAACGGTGTGTTTTTGATACCCATCAGTAACTGTCAGCCGCCGAAATTTCATTGTTCTGCTAAGTACCGTTACAAAGTTAAAAGGAAAGAAATTTTGTCTTTAGTTCACGTTTTCTATTTGCTTTACTTTTAATGTAACATAAGTTATAATATTACGTTTTCTCTTTCTCTCACTTTTCTGCGGTAATGTTACGTGGATATTATGTTAAAGCTATACAATTAGTTTATAGATAGTTGATATCAATTACATACACACCTGCTTAGTATCTTTTTGGGGGGCACATCCTCTTGTAACAGTATTTTGTAAATCGTTTTGTAATTGAAGCGTAGAAATAATTTTGATGCACATTGTAGAAAATGGACAATCTATTTTAAATTCTTCCGACGCGTCAAATTTAGTACACATCGGTGTGAAAGAGGTTACGTTATTTATATCACTCGTTTCTGGAGTAACGCTACATTTGAAGCACTTTATTGCTTCGCTTAGATCTATAATGAAAGTAATTTTAAAGTTATTCCATAATCAGAAATTAAAATTGAAAAAATTAATTGGAAAATAAAATCAAAATTAATTTGTAATAAAAGTTTTAGTTTTGCTTGCAGGCAGAAAGAAAAGAAAATAATCGATACATTTTCTTTGATACCAACAACAGCAGATTTTTCTCTGTAGCTAATAAACCCGTAAGTAGAAGAAAATGAAGTAGTGGTCGTCGAGTTTTTTAATTTTAATCATATAATTTTTTAATGCAAAATTTTATTTTGGGAGTTGTGGAGGGAGCAAGAAGTGTCGTTAAAAAAGGTTAGTAAGGTTAGTAAGATCCCTTCTTAGCTTATTCATATCTATAAACTTCTGATCAAATTTTTTTAGAAATCCCATATGCAAGAAAAAAACTAGTTTTACTTCAGATTAATTAATCAAATCTTTGAATAAAAATTCATTAAAAAATGCCTTAATTTTATTGCGTGTATGCATTAATTCGTGCGGTTTTTTTTTCCAAAAATAAGACTTTATGAAAAAATTGTTATACATTTAATGTTCAAAGTATTGTCCATCGGAAACTACGATGTTTGCCCATCTTTCTGACCTTTTGTGGATCCCATCCTAAAATAACTTCTTCGGCTTGGAGATCAAGAAAGAATCGAGCCAATTTCTGATATCCTGTTCTGAAGTGAAGCGTACTCCGGTGAGGGCATTCTGCATTGATCTGTGATATGTCTGGGCTATGAGGGGGGTGAGGTAGAACTTCCCACCCACAGTTTTCCAAATAGTTTTTAACTGGCCTTGCAACATGTGGCCGAGCGTTGTCATGATGAACCATTATTGATTCGTGTCTGGTCGCATATTCTGGTCGTTTTTCCGCGACGATCTTTTTCAAACGATTCAATTGTTTTCGGTAGAGGTTCCCCATTGATCGTCTGATCCGATTTCAATAGCTCATAATAGAGCACACCCTTGTGCTCTCACCAAATACATAGCATAACCTTGGCATCATGGATATTCGACTTTGCCGTGGATGTCGATGGTTGCCCGGGCTTCACATACGATCTCTTGCACTTTGAGTTATCATAATGAATCCATTTTTCATCGCCAGTGACAATCCGATTCAAAAATTACTTCTTTTAGTAGCGTTGGGGCAACATTTCCAACATGCAGGATCGACGATCGACGTCCCTTGGCTTTAATTTATAAGGCACCCAATTTCCAAGCTTCTGGATGAATCCTAATGATTTGAATCGTCTGGAAGCGGTTGATTGATCAACTCCTAATACTTTTGCAAGTTCTTCTTGCATCTTGCATGCATCTGCGTCGAGCAATGTTTCCAATTCTTCGTCTTGAAATTTTATTGGTTGTCCGGGTCGTTCTCCGTCGTCTAAGTCGTTCTTTTGGCTAAAGCATAAACTTTTAGCAAAATACGATGGCTTTCGGCAGCACTTTTCTTCATGTTAAAGTAATGGCGAAGAACTTCCTTCCCGCAAAAACACTTTATCTGGTACAATTTCCACATTTTCAAATGAATGAAACAAATTGTTGTTCACGCTAAAACAAATGACGTCTACTGAAAACGACGCGAAATAACAGTACCTTTGAAATGAATATAGCCACAGATGAACACGACACGAAATAATACTAGTAGAGCCCTCTCTTAGTACACCGCACGAATTAATGCATACACCCAATAGGATATAGTTTGCAATACAATACATACGTCACTTAACTCTAAATCTACCAAGATTTTATATATTCCCATTCCTACCAATCCGGCCCAAATGATCCGTCTCAAAAATGATATATATATATATATATATATATAATATATGACTATGAGCAAACATTTTTAAATAACGATTTAAATAAGTTTCTGTATTAAATTTCAAAAATAATGCAATGAAATTAAATATTTTTTAATTAAAGTTTCGAAAATTCATCCATAAATAATATTTTAATTTTATTTCTATTCTCAGTGAATTTTGAAAATTTTCGCTTACGAAAGTACATTTTCCATAAACATATTTCATACATTGAAATAGATTTCGCACCATTTTCGCATTTGCACTCGAGAATTTGAGCTTAAAATTGTTGATATTTTGTTTGTGTTTTTGTTTTTATTTAGTATTTGAACCCACGACCTCCCTAAAAATAATATATATGCTTGCCAAATTATACTATCGATAGAAATGAAATTTTAGTACATTGGCTTTTTGCAATATAAAACTATCACTCAACTCGATAACGATTTTTTTTCTTTCTAAGGTTATACAATTGACCCCTTGTGTTAGTTAGGGCAGGTTAAATATATTTCATAGGTCATTGACCCATCTTGGTAAGTTTAAAGTTAAAAATACCGTACTAGGCGAAGCTGATGTTGTTCCGGACCAAGTTTATTTTCTAAAGCGCGGCCAAATCTATCTAATTTTCGACCAATTTTTGCAAATCCATATATTCAATAATTTTTGTGCTGTATTTGGTGGTATGGTCAATATAAAAATGGGTTATATTGAATATTTTGATATTATTGCAGCTATTTGCAAAAAAATTTTTTTTTAATTTAAATTTTATTATAGAATAGATCAATATATGAGATTGTACCGTAAAGATTAGTTTAATATACACGACAGAAAATTTAATTTTTTTATTATATTGTATTACCGCAAATATTCAATCAAGATTAACTAAAAAACACATACATATATATTCACAGCCACATCTGTTAGTAAATCGTTGCTAGCAAAGAATACATATTATAATCAAAAAGATTTCAACAGGCCTCAAGCTTGCTTCTGCCATTACATATGCAACTGCCAGTTCAATTAAAAAGAAAAAGAAAAGCTAGAACGAAGATGAAATAGAAATAAGTAGGAAAATTAGAAACTGAAAGTTAAAACAAAAGAAAAAAGAGAGATACTGGGTGAATCTCCTCTCTACTGAAATAGTTGACCATGATTTGGAGGCCCAATTTTAAAAGGATTTGGTTCTCAGGGATAATGGACGGTATTTCAAAAATTTTAGCCATTTTAATTTAGATGTAGGTGAGAACAAAACTTACGAACTGTTTTTCAAATAAAACAATTATTTAATACGCGGGGAGCTTAAATTCTTGTACAGCTTTAAGCGCTAATTGCTTCCTACCATTTCACTTTTAGAAATGAATGTTATTGCATTCATGCTACGGCTAAAGTGCTTATTGCTTGCAATGGAAATTATCTTCTCATAGACGCAGATTTACAATGTCATCTGTATGCTGCGCAGCCTCAGATATGACCACTGAGGTGCGCCCATTTTTTGATATATGCCTAGTGCTTACTTGAAAATGTTCAGCAGTATTCCCCATTCGCTTAGACGATAAGCTAGCAGATTGTATAGATGATTTATTAATTGTTACTAAATATTTATAAATATTATTATATTACAAAATTGCATACAAATATATATTTGTATTATAAAAATAAGGTATAATTAAAAATACGTTCCATCGAAAAGGTCACAAAAATAACCACGATGGGCTATACGAAGGAAGGGAGGAGTTCCGGAACGTTTATATTATGTCTACGTTGTTAATACGTTAATAATAACAGCAAAATCCCAACTTAATGATTAGACTCTTGTTCGAATTTAGATTTTTTTTCGAGAATTTAGGCATACCTAATTCGAGAGCATTGAACTCACTGGCGTTAGCCGTTTTTTCATAGTTAGCTCTCATTTACGAAAGATTCGCCAGTTTACATTTTGTAAGCTATTACAAAAAGAAGCAATGCTTCTTTCAATCAAAACGGTTCGAATTCACTTTAATCAGTGAGTTTTACAGGCCTATTCTTGCTGTTACTGGTAAAGTAAATTTTGTTACTTTTTTTAACATCCGAAATTGAATTTGGTATTCTGGCGAACTGGTTACAATGTTTGAAAAAATTTGCCAGTTGGTAAAGTAAAAAAGAAGAATACTCACAGCGGAATGGAGGACGGTGCGCAATGGAAATAAATATGGTTTATTTATTTGTTTATTAAATCATAAATGTTTGAACCTAATTTTGAAAATATGCCTAACAACAAAAAAAGAATGAAAACGCTAACTTCCAAAATTAAAAGGGTCATTTGTTCCTCGCAAACTTCTTGCAAAGCAACTTTTTGCACTTTTTTCTACATTCATTCCAGGCCTTAAATATGCTTATCCATTTTGATTTTTTTTCTCAGAGACTAACAACAAAAAATCGAACAGATGATTGTTTGTTACCTCCTATTTCGCTGGTAACAAAATTTACAGGGTGACACTGAACTCAGAATACGAAATAGTAATAAAATTTACTGAAAGGTAAATGTTAATACCAAAGTAAATTTTGTTACCTGAACAGAATGGGCTTGTTAAAGTAAATCTTTTCAAAGATGCTCATAAAATCTGAAACACTCCCCAGATAAGTTTAATAATGTATATACATTCGTAGGTTTTCATTTAAAATAGTAGAAAATGATAGTTTCATAGGAAGAGAAAATACTCAAATAAAAGCCGACTGATGAGTCACATTAAAATCTTTAACATTTGTGTCGAGTCGCAAAATTTCGCTAAAAAAAACGATGGTACCAAAGCAACGCTTCTTTTTGCACCCGTTGACCGTTTTCTCAACTATTTCCGATTTCAAAGTATTAAAATGGAAAACATCAAGGAAAATAAATAAAAAGTTGAAAATGTCAAATCAAAGTAAAAAAAAAATGTTTCTGCCATTGGCTTACGTCATCCGTCAAGACTATGCTGTAATATATTTATGTACATAACCCACATGTGTTCAATGTAAATTATAAAATGCTGTTAAGGATACAAACCTGTGACCGATAACGCCAGTAATCCTAATATTGGAAGTTTTATAACGGTGGCATCGTATTTCTGTTATATTTTAGAGAATAATAAAACTTTAAATCAAGATATAATCTATTCCAATAATTTTGTTACCATCTCAAGTTTCGATAATTAATAGGGCTAGAGCTATTTAGGTAGAAAAGATAAGTGTTTATGCAAAACTTTATTATATACGGGTACTTTTATATGCATTTTAGGAGTTTAAACTATTTATCATCTACATCGTCACCTACCATAGAAATTGTATCAAAAATAGAGATCATTTGAATACTTTTACGTTTATTTGTCACGTAGAAGGCCAACGGAAAATTAACAGCTACATCATTTATTTTTTATTTCATCCGAATGTATCATCACACAAATTGTATAATATTTATACTATTGCGCCACCTGGATAATTAAAATGTGGCCTGTGAATTTATGGTGATTTAAATCTGCTGAATCCGATTAAGAGAAAATATGGCGACAGTAATCTTCTTCTTTATTGGCGCAGAGAATAATATTACGATTTTCTTCTCTTCTTTTCGCTGATTGGCGCCAGTAAGAAGTACCAAGTGAAACGAAGTCGCTGTTCACCTGATCCTTCCGACGGAGTGGTGGTCATTTTCTTCCTCTTTCTCCTACAGGTACTGCATTGAATATTTTCAAAGCAGAACTGCTTGCATTCATACGGACGACATGACGTAGCCAGCGGAGCCACTATCTCTCGTTACATCGTCTGCGGTATTCGATGTAAATCGTTCGTCGATTCATCAGATGCCGATATCGTCCACGCCTCTACACTTGTAGGTCCGAGAAGATGAGGGACTTGTAGTGTTTTTTTTCCGCGAGAGAACTTTACTTTAAAATTGGCATTATTATTGTTGTCAATGCTGGTCCATAAATAGACGAAATTATCTACGATCCGTCAATTATCTATGACTACGCCAATAAGAAAGAAGAATAAACACCGGTTGAATTGAAGATAGACATGTAAAAGATCTACCCCAATTAATTATAGATTTTCAAAGAGAACTGTGAACTGGTAACAAAACTTTTTTTGTAGATTCGCTATATAAAAACATACTCTTCTAATTTTTATAATTTTTAGAAATATAATAATTAATCCAAACCGAGTCTTGACCAAACCAGCATATATAAAGGATTTCGATTTAGTACGAATTCAATGACAATGACGCTTCCATTTCTTATTTTATATAAATTAAAAATTATACCTTTTTCCTGTGTTTCTTGTTTAAGCTTATCTGTGGGCCAGGTCATGAATTTCCGGGATTGAACAATCTACTTAACTATCTTTGTTACATATGTATGGTTACAATACAAAGTCTAATACCCGAGCAATAGAATACATGGGAGCTTATGTCATAACTACTTTGGCAATTTTTAAATTAACTAATATGGTATTTTACGAAGCTTGCATTATATAAATATGTATAGACATATGGCTGCTCTGGCAGACGAATGGTTAACATTGCGTACTGCTATTCAGAAGGCTCGGCTTCAGATCTCGTGCGACCAACATCCAAAAGTTATAGGAAATTAATTTAAAAAAAATTAAATTAAATTTTCTAAACCATAAATTGGAGGTTAGGGGCTCAAGAATTTACCCGCGGTAAGGCATGCCTGTCGTAAGAGGCGACTAAAATCCAATAGTTCCCGCGACAGTCGGGTCTTTATACCGGAACGACCCGGATTTTTATCCGGCCAAGGACTGTCACTCCCGAAACATTCCCAAAAAGGTCTTTGGGGAATAATTTTGCGGTTACAACAACAACAACAACAACAACAAATTGGAGGAGGAACTCGGCCGAAAAGCGCTTCATCAAATTATATGTATGTAATTTATATATATACATTCATACTTATGTACATATGTACATGCCTACTTTGGTTTACCTTAACGGAAATCAAATAAATATTAACGATATCGTTCATTCAATATACATATTATTATTGGTTCCAATTTTTTGTGAATGAATACACTTTAAAATTTCTTCCTTTTCCTCAACATTTTACATGTTTTATTGGAATTGAATTTGAAAACTTCACTTACAATAGACCACTAAAATGTCCAGTAATTAATCAATTTGATTAAATAGCAATATGCAACCGGCTAATCGCTTCCAGCAGAAAACGGGCCTTAAAATAAAAACTATATTCGAACCATGAAGAATCGATATAAATTGGTTTCTGATGAAAGGTTATTGATTAAAATTTTAGCGCTTGTATAAGTCCTGGTTCTAATATCGTTGTAATATGCGTATAAGTTTAGTTAAACTCGCGTGAGTTTATGATGAAAAACCTTGCAGAAAGTCTGAAGAACTCAATAAAGACAAGTAGAATAAAAGAAAACCATTGCATTTCGATAAAGCACGAATGATTTTATAATCAACCAATTATAGATAAGTAGAATTAAAATGTGGTTTAGGATGTTACCCATTTTTTTGTGGCTGATTAAATCTCTTCTGAGAACCACTTAAGTGGACGATCCACATTTCTTAATTTTTCTACCTTAATCGTCTGTAATATTCACTTGATTGTTTCTTCAGAAAATGGATTTTTAGCGGTCGCACGTAGAAAATCGCTTTAGTGTCTGGTTTGGTCTTGAATCAAAGCCATAATTCTCGGTCTCGAAATATGAACAGCTAATGACCGTCTACAATAGTATTGAATTTCTATTAAGAGGAATACCTATCATCTGAGTCCAATTTTCAGATCAATTTAAATATTGCGAAAGTAAAAGTAAAATTGCAGCTTTTATAACATATTCATACACTGTATGAACATATATTAGTTGCATCGGTTTCCACCCGACCTACAATAAGCATTTTGTTTTCCAACTACATACAAAAAAGATAAGGAAGTTGATTTCATAGAAAGGCATTTATAATTATAAAATTGATAACTGCATGACCTAGAATTAAGTAGTTTTCTTTACACTGTTAACGACAACATATGTACGTTTGTATATGAAATAAAATTAAAAAATTTACATTAAATTTAGATAATACTTTATTTATTTTATCAAATTTTTAAATTATCGAAATAATTCATGAATGAATCATACACGACTAAAGAAAACGTAAAAGTACTTTATACTGAAAAAAAAATCAACTTTTTATAACATTTTTGTCCCTTTTCTATCAATACCGCTTTCTCCAATACATTGGTCTGTACAATCACTATTCGGCACACGAATCATATAGTATTTCTCCTGTGTATAAGACTATAAAATTAATTGCTTTAAAATAAAAAGGACATCAAATGATAGGATTATTCCTTGATACTAAGTCACATATAATATTTGAAAAATGTATGGATGGTGCAATCACTCTTCCTTAAACTTTACAGTAAGCATATTTTGTATACCATTTTGACAGTATATAATTTTACGATAACGAAAATAATTTGCTAAATTAAAAAGTAACTAATAACTTTATCCACATAACTATATTTTAACGAGCACAACTTTTGTTTTGCTCACAGTCTTAAGTTAACAAAATGATGAATATTCGTGTGAATATCGATAATCATCTTAGTACGCTTAAGTTGAAACAGATTGAACGCCACAGGCTACTGCAGACTACGAATAATATCGCGGGTACAATGGAAGTGTAGTCAGCTGGATTTTCTTTTGTTTTAAATGCGCCCGTGATGCTGATAGTCTGAAGACTCTTTTTAACTTTTACTGATACGTTGATCATTTACCAAATATCGAAATTTTGTTTGCAAAATGCTTATTCGCTTTCCTATGCCTTCACAATTTGACAACCCCTTAGCTGCATATACTTATGTCTTAATGCTGCTTTCACAAATTTGATTGTACTTCGACAAGTCTGTTAACCTTGGAATTCGAAGATTGTTATGCTTCTTGATTTTGTAAACGCTACGTACGTGTAATCAGAAAACTAGGGCGTATTAACTCGCTCGCTGTAGGTTGGCATGAAGGGCTTACAGCATTGGTAGTCTATGCGTCCTCTTCAGTATCGTTCAATCCATTGTGTGTATATACAGTAGCCGCAGAGCACGCGATTCAAACCTTAAACTTAGAGATCATAAGCATCAAGGCCTTATCCACCATTTCTAGCTTGACATTTGCACCTTGCCTTTTGAGAAGTAGTGAGAGATTATTTGCTTACATTCGTAGAATTGGTGGATACTCGTTCACATAGGCTAAAATGTTACTAACCAAGACAACAACAAACGTACTTCATGCTTTTGTAGTTCAACTTCATAGATTCAACAGATCTCTGTCTACCATGTTTTCGTTATGCTATAAATGTTGTTGCGAGATTTTTTTTGGCTAAGTAGCAGATTGTTTTTCTCTATTGTTTGAGATATTGTTTATATCTTTACTTGTAATACGTGTACATATCGGCATCGTTTTAATACACACTACATGGCCAATGTCCGTACACGATGAGCACAACGCCCATGCTTGTCGGCAACAAGGTAATCCACTTGCACAACCTCTTACTACTAATTTGAGTAATGCCATCATTGCACCGTTATTTCACAGGAGTTCTGATTCCTCACATCATGATTTTTTAGATCTCATTTCGCTTAAGTTGGTAATGCTATTTTGTTGGCCACTGAAAAAGAAAATATTCTTCAAGGATCACGTAGGTCGACGATTTGCTGTTTGACATAGTCTTCTCAGGAAATCTTAGACGACTATCTCTCTGGAATTGGTTCATCAGATGGTGCTTACTAGTCTTTGTAAATAACAACCCTGTTGGGTGCTTTTCGGTACAGTACTGCTCTGATTCACCTCAAACCCAAATTTTCTGTCCTACAGTATGGGCAAAATCCATCCAAATCATCATGGCACAAGTCCAAAAAAATCTTCAATTTTTTCATATTCAAATGTTCATACAAAATTTCTCCAGCTTAGCAACTTGATGTAAGGGAATGGTGGACCCGCATTTCAAACTCCTTATGTAGCGCCGCTACTGAAGCTATTGGTTTTCGGCAGTGTCAGAAAAAGAACTGGTAAGATGAGGAATATCGAGCTGCAGTGAAGAAGAAACAGACCTCGCAACCTTGCGAACCGACCACAATACGTGCGGGTGGGATAGATACCGAGAGTATAAGAGGGAAGCAAGACGCATATGCAGGAAAAAAGGAATTTCGTATGAAGGGCTTTAGAAGCCGGCCGATAACGGTAATGCTCGAAAATTCTACGAAAAGATACGGTGACTTACAAAAGGTTTCAAGACTGAAAGGTTTCATCCAGAGGGTTAAAAATGAAACACCGGGAAATGGGGGACGCGAGACTCCAGTTGATGACGATGGAAAAATTGTTCCTTTACCCGACTATGAAGAAGTCCGAATAGAAATCGCCCGCTTAAAGAACAACTAAGCGGGGGGGACCAATGGATTACCGGCCGAGCTAGTCAAATACGGCGGTGAAGAACTGATCAGGTGCATGCATCAGTTACCTTGAAAAAATGAAAGCGGTTGGAACCTAAGTGTGCTCCGCCGAATCTACCGGAAACCCCTATCGGAATTGGGAAGGACTTCTCCGAGCCGCTCGATACCAAACGAGGTACAAGACAGGGTGACTCTTTTTAATGTGATTTCTTCAATTTGATGCTGGAGAAAATAATAATAGCTGAATAGAGAAGGTATTGTACAATTTTTTATAAGAGTAAACCATTGGCGTATGTCTAGGGGCAGCATTAACACTAATAATAATGTCTGCCATGAAATCCATTGCGAAACCGCTCTTGCCAAAAAGTGCTACTTTAGACTGAGTAAGTATGAGTATTGAAACGTAAAGTCCTCACTCGGCGAACGAAAACCAAACTCTACCAGTCGCTCATCATATGACGCAAAAGCGAGTCAACATCTGATGAGTCGGCTCTGGTAGTCTTCAAGAGGAAAGTTTAGTCAAAGATTTATGGTCCTTTACACATTGGCTACGGGGAAAACTGCAGATGATGAAACTATGAGCTGCACGAGCAATATGATGATATTGACATATTTCAGGGAACAAAGAGACAGCGGATACGCTGGCTAAGTCACATAGTCGGAATGGATGAAAGCACTCCAGCTTTGAAAGTATTCCGTGCAATACCCGTTGGTGAAAGCAAAGGAAGAGGAAAACCTTCACACCTTTGGAAGCATTAGGTCGACAGTGACCTGATTTCACTTGGTATTTCCAACTGGCGCCAAACAGCGAAAGAATTATTTAGTGGCGCGCTAATATTATTTCAGTTATAATCTCTTAAATGAAGAAGAAGAAAAACAAAATACACGATATCACACAAAAATACGATGGATAGAAATACAGAGTTTCTCAAAGATATCACGAATACACAACACTAGATGTATTAGGTCTACGGCATTTTAAATACGACTAATATTTACTTCTAATTTATGCACGAAAGCGGTTAGTCTAGCGAAGAATGGTAAAATATATTTGTGTTAGAAAAATAAATGTTCATCAAACTTTATATCTTTAATCTTTGTCAATTTTATACGCCCATATCTATTTTAAAATACAGCCTTGGCCAAAAGTATTAGGCACCCCACTAATTACTGAATTTTTTGCTTTAACAAGTGAAGTAATGAAGTTTTTACAAATAAACAGTGAAAATACAATGAATTAGTGTTAATAACATTAATATTTAGTAGGTCGATTCGATTTACCCTCGCAAACGAACATTTCGCGTCCATGCAGCCCCAGATCATAATGTTGCGACCGCAATTATAAAATTTAATTTAATTTTTTATTTGAATTAATTTTCTGAGAGCCATGGCTTCATTCGGGCTTTACATCCTTTTAAAGCAGAAGTCTTCTTCTAGCTGTTCAAGCACTATCTGGTTTACTAAATTCATCCGAGAGGGCAGCTTCAAACGCAGAAGATTTTTTGCGATCCTTGAGAGATTCGCTTATAAGTATTCGGTCTTCTCGTTTACTGGTTAGATGCTTTCTTCAACTGTTAGATTTATTATTGTGGGATTTTGTCTCCTTACATCACATCACATTGCAACGCGCTCCGCGAACATCCCACCGAACTTTCAATCTCAACCTGACACCTACCTTCTTCACTTAGAACTTGAATTCTAACTCTATCATCGTAACTAATTTCACTTTTTTAGGTATTTCAGTAAATATGAACTGTTTTTGTAAGATTGGTAACTTTTCACTAAATGTAATTTACCCTTTCTCTTTCAAATTTTAAATGTGAAAATATTTTAAGAATTTCTTAAAAATTACAATTTTTATAGGTTTAACTGCTATGTCTTTTAATATTACACATTTTATTCGTATTATTCGTATACAGTTAAACACCCATGTAAGACACTTACAAAAAGAAGTGGTAACTTTGATCTCCACATTTGAGAATCCTTGTATTTTAGTGGGGTGCCTTATACTTTTGGCTAAGTTTGTATATTTTCAGAAGATCACATAGCAAATATATCCCATTACATATAAATAATTACTTATATATTGAATTCTAATGGCACAATTTATCTTTTACCGACTTACATACATTTCTATATATTTCTTTTTTAATTTTCAGATAGCGGAATTTAGTAACTGCATATCCGACCAAGGATATTTGCCACTCCAATTAGCTTTGACATCGAAAAATCTCGCAATAGCAGAAACTTTGGTGAAAAATGGTTTTGCGAATATAAATGCGTATGATGCAGAGGTATCTTAAGAAATTTATTTATTATTGGGGTAGTATAATAATTTTACAATACTTTTCAGGGTTTCCCTTTGTTAGTAAGATCTATTCAAGACTGCGATGAATTTGCCGCGAATTTTTTATTAGATCATGGCTGTGAAATAAATCTTAAAGCCAGGTGAGTATTGAATTCAAAACAAGCTTTTGACACATGCCAATATTTAAATATTGTATTAAGTTAAATATTTATTATATTTTTTTATGAGGATAAGTGGGATTATGCTAAGCAATTACTAGGCATTCTTTATAGTAAGCTTGTTATTTAGTGATGAAATCGAGTTTTGATTATATTCTATCTTGACATTTTTGCTTTAAAATGTTAAAACTGTTAAACTTCTCTGGCTGGTTCAAAAATTAATAAAATATTGGAAACAAAAATTGTAATAATAAATAATCTACTTACATATGTATATATCAAATTTTAAAATAATCTACCTAAATATGTATATATCAAATTTTAAAATAATGCATGTACATACAATTGTGGTAGGCGATTTGATATATTTCTAACAAATGGAGAGACCTTCTGTTTATATTGAGCCGCCTCCGAAGGTAAGACAGCTAAAAAAGAAAAATAGTCGGCAGAATATTGATAGTCACATTACCATAGTAAATAACAAAAAGTTGAGTATTTCTAAGGCCTGGTTTTCGTTAAGTCATATTTTTGACATCAAAAATTGACATCAAGCGGCGGCTGCTTTCATCACATCAAAAAAACTGACGAAATGTCTGTAAGGTAGTGCATGTCAAATACTGTCGTCAAATTTTCGTGTCATACGATTTGACCGTTTTTATCTTTTCTGTCAATGTGAACAGATAGTTTTTGACAGCTTAGTTTTAATACGTATTCAAAAAACATTAAAATGAACCACTAAAAAATTGTTATTGCAATGGCGGCGCTTTGTCTCATAACGAGTTTGAACACGTGGAACAAATACCGAAGTCTCCAAAGAAGACAAAGCAGTGGTGGACTCAGCATGCTTTAAGATACTTGGCAGATTTTGGGGAAAATAAATTCCTCATCCCTTCCCTCAATTCTACCTCTTGGATCAGTCTCTCGGTTTCCTCTGCCAACCACTTCTCCTGCATTTTTCGTCCACGCTTCTGTGTGCCGTTGAATATTTATATATACATATATATTGCATATATATTGCTTATATGACAACCCCTTTCCATTATTTTGACAGTCAGATATGATCTAATGAAAACCAATGCATTGAAAGAAAACAGATTTAACTCGTTTTTTGAGGAAGAACCTGTAATGGATCCAAAAAGCGCTCTAACTTACTCGTATTAAACTTAGCCAACTAATTGACTGGACAAAAATACAAGCTCTTAACGGAAAACACTTTCTTGAGTTTGTTGTATATTTTTCGGCAAACAAAAACTACTATTCTTACCAGATAAAAGAGTTAAGAGTAGCATTAAGATACGATGAAGAAAAAATTCTGAAAAATCGTTTATCTTCTTTGCAAAAATCGTATGCCGACAGTGTGGATATTGTTACCGTCATAGATCCTAAAAAAGTTTCCGAGGTACGATCATGTAACAGTGAACCCTAAAGGAACTACCGAGCACTGCTCTCGTTTTCCTTGCAAAGCTTTTCATTGCAATGTTAAAGCTTGGATTATTAGATGTACATTGCGCAATAGTACAAGCAAATCGGATAACTAAGAAAATAAGAAAACATTTCGAATTGAGAGAGAATTGTTCGGCGGTTTTTCTTGATGTAGCGCAACCATTTGGCAAGGTGTGGTGTGTTGGTGGAATGCATAATATTAAACTATTAACTACCTAGCATGATAAGACGATTCAATATAAAAGTAAATATTTTACATACTGTTTACCGAAGATATTTTTACAATTGGAAAAATAATCTTTTCAAATTCTGCGGATGATACTGCTATAATAAATCGACACAAATATTACAAAAGTGTTAGAACAACATGTTAAACTAATTAAATAATGGCATAAGTGCAAACACATCACATTTGCATTAAAGCCGAAAATATCCCTACTGTCAAGCTCAGCAATGTATGTAAATATTACACAAGCATTCCTCGGAATCCACCTCACTAGGCGCCTTTTCTGAAGATTACACATATCCAGTACAGCTCAAACTCGAATCTGCCAGTTTACATTGGTTCTTAAACAAGCTAAGTCTAGCGTTAACAACAAAGTCTTCTAATATTATGCAACAATAAAACCAATATGAATGTATGTATGGGGCACCATTGGTGCGACGAATATATGTATACGTTATTCAAAGGCTTCAATCTAAAATTTTAAAAATGATAAATTTTCGCAGGAAGTCAAACGTGGTTGAAGAGAAGAGACAAACCTTCAAAGCCTTCTAAAGAGCAACGTTAAGCCAAAATTAAAGCGGTTTTCGATCGAGCTCCTCATCAAATTTGTGGTTCGCGTCTCAATAAATAATGGAGGGGACGCACAATTTATATAACGCCACCTCCGAATTGCTGATGGTTTCTTATGAGAAGCCTTTATTTCATGTCAGAAGTGCACACGGATGGGTTGACATTACATGCCGAGGAGCGTTCGCAATTAATAAATTTAACTTAATTTTTTATTTAAATGAATTTTCTATAACTTTTGGATGTTGCTCGCACCCGGATTTGAACCCGGGTCTTCCGAATACTTATAATACCGGCAATAAAAAAATTAAGTAAGGAAAGCTGTTTTCAGCCATGCCGAAGACATTATACCTTTCATGATGTTATCATATTCGTAGTATTTCATTTTTGGATTTCTTATTTCCGATTTCGATAGTTTTCATTGATTTTGTGTAATTTGTATCTAAATATACAAAATTCCATCCCTCTATCTCACGGTTATAAGCTATATGATTTATACGGCATTTCCACGACAGACCAATTACGTGTTTCGCCCTCTCAATTGTGAATGCGAAGCACGCCCATTCACCCGGCACGCAGTTTGACAGTTTTCGGTTTTGCTTGTTTTTTTCATTTGAAAACATATGGAAAATGAAAGATTTTAGTAGAAGTTAACAAAATCTTGAATTGAATTGCTAATGTAATGCCAGTTTCTTTAATAATATCTAATTTTTTTTTTTTTTTTAATATACAAATTGTCCTTGATTTCAAATCAATGTTTGTGTGTTTGTGTCTTCTTTTATGATTCTCCTCTCTTTTGTTTTGATTTGTCAGCTAGTTTCGATAAAATTTCGATAAGAATTCGAGAAGGCATCGATTAGGTCGTAATTCGCATGGCAATTGAGAACGAATTACGAGACACGTAATTGGGCTGTCCAGGGAATGCCGTATTAGTCCTACGATTTCAATTGTTCACAATGTTGTATATTAAAGGTATAAAAGGAAATGTAGTGTGTATAAGTATTTACACTAACTGTAACACACTCCCTAATTTGAAATATTAAGAAGTCCATATAATGAAGAGACGATATAGAGCGGTTCATGGGGGCCCAGCTGTTGACGAAAGGCAAGCCATATAACAAGATCTTTAGTTACTAGGTAATATATTTATTGCAGGTGACAATGACAACGTAAAACACATCTACTACGGTTCCCGCCATGTTAACCCAAAAGAACGACAATGGGCCTAAGTACAAGAAATACTTGTGCACACTTATGTAAATGGAGTTGTTGTGAATTGGATATAAAAAACCACAGGCCAAACGCAGGGAAGGGTATTGGTTCTTTATAAAACATTCTTTGGAATGATATACAGAGAGTTTTATTAAAATATCAAATAAATTTTTCCATAATTCAATTTTGATCTATGTTCTGTTGTGTAATAATGTGAAGAAAAACATTGCGCAGTATGGCAAGAAGCACTTCGGCTTAAAATTTTCTCATATAGGAGTATCCAATTATGGCTGGCGTTCATCAATGTAGCCTGACGTGTAAAATCTACTGCAAACAAAGATCTCCCAAGCTAGTAGAGTTAAATATATTTTTATACACCTAGATAAGCGATTGATCTAGATGAGCCAACCAAATTTAAATTCCTGATGACGAAAATAGTATTCCTCTTCTTGGCAGGAATAAAGTTTTGGGTAATTACCAATTGCAATGTATTCGCCATGACAACGAGAAAGCGAGTTATTCCACCAAAAGGGCGATGTTCCTGCAAAAAATTTATTCACAGATTGAGCGCCAGTGGGGAACGAAAATCCGCCACATGGATGCATTAAGCAGAATGTTGTGTCTGGTTCTCAACGATTTACAATTAACAAATAATAATAGTTTTCCGTCAGAGAAAAACCCATGTTGTGTAAAATGCCCGGTTGCAAAGCCCAAATCAGGAAAGAAAGAAGTGTGCCATTAGTAAGGAATATGCGTCATTATTTCCTATTTAAATTAATCCTGTAGGACATCTGAAGCAAACCATGCAAGCCTACACATATATGCCCGTTTAGTGGACGCATACTTAAAACCGCATGCAAACATTATTCTTCTCATGGAGTGGATATAATTAGGTGTGCTCATAGATTGGTCAATTACAGCTGATCTTGTGTTCTTTCGTTGTCCGAAAATATCGACTAACGAATTTCAGTACGGGCAAATTTTTTTTATATGAGTTAAACGTTCACCTCGTCGCTCGACACAGCCATCCCGCATCGGATTTAATTTGCCCATCGGCAGCATCAATATATCTCAATTTTATGTGCCTCAAGGTCGGCTCGGATGGATTTGGAGGATTTCGCCTTCCTCTGAACCTCCTCAATGAAGAAACCAAGCGCTGAGCTGGTATTTAGCAGTTTGCGCAGGCGGTGGGTTACTCGTCGCTGAAGAATGCAATATAATGAGACGGCGAAAATTTCTCGCGCATTTCTTCGGGTACTGCAAGGTATGGCCACCGAATGAAATATCCACTCGGTCATCACGTCTCGTCGGTTTAGCCAACGATTTAACTGTAGCCCAGAGCTTGGTTTTCCCAGAGCAGAGATTGCAGAACCTTATGTGCTTGTCCCACTTTTACCGCTTATGGCTTTTTGGTTGTTAACGTAGCCGCTACAACAACAACAGCACGAGGGGAAACATTAGTAGACTGCTGTAGCGACAGGTATTTAGTGAGGCAGGTACTTTACCTTTAGGAATTGCACAAATACTAACGTGTACACCAAGATAATACAAACTACCTTCAAATTTATTTATTTTGTGTGAACCTGGCATCCGACAAGGAAACCTCAACTCAAACCCGCAGATCTTCATAATATACAACTTATGTTATTTGTCAATTAGATATGTTCGTGCTACAATATGAAGTGGAAAGAATATTACTTTACTTCTTAGGATGCTTTTCATATCTGCTAAATGTTATATTTCTGACCAGTGTGTAGTAAAAAATACCATGGTATTTGGGGTTCTTCAGATCAATTTATTTTGTTTTATGTACAATAGATGATTGCACAAGTTAAACTTCAATTATGCATATATAAAATATAGGCGAAAATTGGCTGCACTCCGATGTTAAAGCGTTGATGGTTGTTAATTGAAAAGAAAAAGATAGAAGAGAATTTTCGGTATACAGCCAAGTGAGCCGATTCCATATAAGTTGAGTATCCAAAAGAATTGTTGGAAGGTAACCGTTAGGTATAAGTCATACGATGTTCTCTTAAGGTATAGGGTGCTGTGTTAAGTCGCATACGAATATTTACATTATCCAAACTTCAATGAATATGAATTAGTTGAAGATTGTACAACCACAAAAAAGGAAAATATATTTAAGCTTGGAAAATTATACATTTAATGCAGTTTTGGCAACTTTGTGTCTACGAATTCTCGCTTGCCAAATTAGAAATAAATGTAAATGGATCACAGCTATGTACGTCTGTGGTCATGTGGCCCTTAAGTTTTGTGTTGATCCCTTGAGAACGCGTGCATTTCAATATTGACAGCTCGCAGCCCGGGGTAAGTGATCCACTTTTCAACACCATCCGTTTTAAAAATAGATCGATGTTGTTACGTTTCAGCGGCGGTTCGCTTATGGAATCCATGAGTTTCTTCTCCATTAACTCTTATGTCAGCCATACATGGAGCTTATTTGTGAATCGACTGTTTTTGAGCAATATTTAGCTTCCAGTCAGACTCAACGATTTCCGTTATTTCATCCACATTTTTGACAATTGTCTTTCCATACCAGTAAGCATCAAAATTATTATTACAGTACCATGAACATAAACACTATTTACATTTTCTGTTTCTTGACTAGCTTTACTTTTACTAGATCTAATATACATATACATATAAATTATAATACATAAAAGTTCCGGTCACACCTTATTGTGGCTTTTAGTATTTCGTTCGATTTAGGCTTCAATGTTTTAATTGGTAATGCAATAAGGCAACAAGGACAAATTAATCGCTTTTTCGCTACTCAAAATTGTCCATTTAAAAGAGAATATAAATGCCTTAAAATAATCGGCTTGTCAGTCTTAATTGATTCGAAGTTAGCCGAATGCTACTATTTTGATCTACGCTTAAGTTAAACAAATAAGAATATTCTATAACCGTAAGGATGTAACCGCATCGTTAAATTCAAAACAGCCCTTAGCCCTTAAATCATATATATTTTCGTTGATCTGTTTATATGTAACAACCTTCAAATAAAAAGAGTACATTACATGTTAGTCTAGACAGCTACCAATCAACGTACCAAATCTCAAGGAAATCGGAAGCGCGATTTTTAATCGATCGGTTCCAGGGCATCTTCCCCAAAAGAAGAAATAGCCCTTATAGTTTTGGCAAAGGGTATTTCATACCAAATTTCAAATAGGTGGAACATTAAATAAGGTTTTATTTTGGAAAAATCGCTTCCTTGTCCAATTTCAGGACGACAATTTTTTTTATAAAAACCTTTTACTGGCAGTTATGAACAATTTAAAAAAGCATGGCCATTATCAGTTGATGAATTATTTACATGTGTTTAAATTAATTTTATTTTTCTGATGGGTGACAACTCTTTCAAAAAACATACAAACTCGACATGAACACTCTCCGGTCTTCAATGAATCTATCTTGAAAATTGTAGCAAAATCGGCTCGTGATTTCGTAGTTTATACGCTACATATCGTAGATTCATATATTCATGGATACACATATACAATGAATAGAAAAATATCTACATACATACATATGAATTAAATAATTTTATTTATTATATTTTTTCAGAAATTCTGGGAATACTGCTATACACATAATTTGCGAATATTCTCCCTTAAAAGGGGAGAAGGGTGCTTTTGAAACTATTATAAGTATTGCCAAAAAGATACTGTCACTTGAACCAGATGTCAACGTTCAAAATGATTATGGGGAAACTCCTCTCCATAAAGCAATATTATCTGGCAATGACGAAATGGTGGATATGTTGCTTTCTGTACGCAGTTTAGATGTTAATTTGCAAACAATCGAGGATAAATCCGCCCTAGAAATGTGCCTATTAAATTCTAAAGACTCTTGGCGTATTCCCACAAAACTAATAGAACTCGGGGCCAACGTAAACCGAATAAAGGAATCTACTCAAGAGAGTTTGTTACAGATTTTGACGAAAAACGATTTAGAGGAAGCTGCAATTTTTTTGTCAGATTATGGAGATTTTAATCACGTTGATGCTGAAGGATTTACAGTACTCCATTTAGCTGCGAAAAAGAGCTTATCAAATTTAGTAGCTAAACTGCTAGAAATTGGAGCAAATCCAAATGTTCAGCTAGAAAAATCCCAAATGAAGACACCTATTCATTTAGCGGTGGAAGCCGACGCTGTCGGAGTACTAGAAAAATTCGTAAATCTAAAACATTCGCTTCCAGAGCTAATGCCAGATTTTGACTCCAAAGATTCTAATGGAAATACTCCATTAAGCCTTAGCATAGAATTAGGACGAAGCCATCTTATTTCTCTTCTAATAGATGGTGGAGCGAATGTTAATGCTCGAAACGGTGAAGACTTGACCCTCCTGCACCAATCGATTTTAAATAAGGATACAGAAACTGCTCTTTTACTTTTGCAACATGGTGCCGATGCATGCTGTCTAACTGGTAAATTTTTCTTCATATCTCCTTTTTTATTTATAGATAAATACTTTTAATTATATTAATATATGTATTTATATTTTTTAATTGAGAACAGGCGACAAAAAATCACCCTTACGGCTAGCTATCAACTCTCATATGCCGAAAGTAGTCGATTACTTATGTTCTAAAGGGGTTGCTTTACACTCATCCATTGATGGCATTAAAGATCCGCCTCTTTGGACAAGTCTAGAGCTTGGATATGAAGACATTGCTCAGATATTATTGCGCCACGGCGCTGATACAGATTGCTGGGATGACGGACCAGATGGTTGCCTTCAAACTTTATTACATCGTGCCATAGATGAAAATAAGGAAGTCATTGCAATTTTCTTGATAAAAAGTCAATGTGATATTGATTCTCCTCGCCAACCTGGTCCTAATGGTGAAGGGGGAGATGAAGCTAATGATAAAGCATCTCCATTGCATGAATGCTGTCAATGGGGTCTAACCAAAGTATTACAAGCTTTAATCGACCATGGCGCGAATGTAAATGCTCTAGATATAAACAATCAAACTCCAATACATATTGCAATTAGAAATCAACACGAAGAAGCTATATCTATTTTACTATGTCACCCGAATATTGACCTAAGAATACGAGACAAAGAAGGAAATACTCCTTTCGCGCAAGCCCTCATTGTTCGAAATCATAAAGCCGCAGAACGAATATTAGGTCGATTACCAAACGCTGCAGAGCAAATGGACCATCGCGGACGCAACTTTCTTCACTTAGCAATACTGAAAGATGATTTGGAAGAAACCCTTTTCTTATTGTCAGTTAAAGTAGATGTAAACTCTAGGGTCCATGATGTAAATCAATCTACCCCCTTACATTTAGCAGCCACTTCGCAAAATGAGATGATTATGAGGACCCTGATTCTAGCAGGCGCTCGTGTTAGTGAGAGAGATGCTATTCAAAAAACACCACTTCACGTTGCAGCTGAGCGGGGCAACTTGATTGCAATAACGGCACTTCTACAGAATAATACAGACTACGATGCCATTGATGGTGAAGGAAATAACGCGTTACATATTGCGGTCCGGAAAGGATATTTAAGTGTTGTAAGAGAGCTATTAACAGAATCAAGAATCGACGCAGAGGCAATAAATAACAAAGGTCGAACGCCACTTCATGAATTATGCCGCACTGGTGAGGATACTGGTGCTGCTGCTATTTGTGACTTTTTTATTGAGTGTATGCCAAAATACCCAATAAATATGCCGGATGCAGATGGAAACACACCTCTATTACTTGCATTCATGCGGGGTCAATCACCATTATGCAAAGCTTTGGTGAAATATGGAGCTTGTCTTGGAACAGAAAATAGGGACGGAGTTAATATATTTAACTTTAAATTAGCTACAGATCAACTTTTACACAACCTGCTTGATCAACTATCACAGGAGTCTCCATGGTCTGAATCAGATGTGTGTCAAGAATGTCGCATAAAATTTTCTCTTACAATACGCAAACATCACTGGTAAGTTGCCAATCAAGTAGTAACATCCTTTCTGCAGAAGTAGACTACTACGAACCTTAAACGCTGTAAATAATGATTACTGATAAAGTTAGTTTTCAGTCAGAAATTTCAAAAAAGTTTGCTTTGGTAATATTTACATACATATAATTGGCGCTTTGTGGTCCCTGAAGCGATTTTTCGACCGAGCTCCTCTTCCAATTCGTGGTTTTGCGTCTTGATGTTTTTCCAACAAATGACGAGACGAAGAGTTTATGCTGAGCCATATCCGAACGTCTGATGGTTTCTTTATGAGGAGTTTCATTTCATGTCAGAAATACCCTCGGAGGTGTTGACTTTTCCTGTCGAGGAGCGACCGTAATAAGAAAATTTAGCTTAATATAAATACCACTGTGTGTTAGCATTCAAAATTCCAGAAAATTAATTTAACTAACTGCGGTCGCCTCCCCGAACGCATTTCAGACATGAAAACCCATCAACCGCTCGAAGATGGCTTAGAGTAAGCTATAGGTAATTTCAAATTGGAGCGGTATCTTGTCCGAAAATCACTTTAGCGGTGATATTGTTCAAATTTTATATTTACATATACGGTTGTTATATGGATGGTGCCACACTCTGTACTCCGTTTTAATCATTTGAATTATGCGAAGTTGTTCTTTTGAATGGGAGTTTTTGTGTTCTTAATGCAATATGATGTTGTAATTAGTAATTTCTTTACGCATATTAGGCCAAAAGTATTTAGATGGAATAAGACATTGAGTTTTTCGAATACTTAGATGTGATAAAGAATGAATTTTTTCCAAATTAATTTTTTTCATAGAATTAGGAACATATGATCTAAAAGGTATTTGTGTGACATCACACCAAATATTAACATGGGTAGCATAGCGTACTGCCGTTCGGAAGGCACGGGCTCAAATCCCCGTGCAACCAATATCCAAAAGTTATAGAAAACGATTTCTAACATAAAATAAAGCCCCTCATAAAAAAAATCAGTCGTTCGGAGGCGGCCTAGTATAAACTGTAGGTCCCTCCATTTTGTTGGAAAAACATCAAAACGCAAAGCCACAAATTGGAGAAGGAGCTCGGCCGAAAATCGCTTCAGCGGTTACAAAGCGCCAATTATATTATATGTATTAGTAATAGAGTAAAAAGACACCAAAATTTAATCACTCAGCTTTAAAAACAGCACAGATTTTATTGTTCAATGATACACTATAAAAAAGCAAAGATTTTTATGAAAGTACCGCCTATTCTGAGATTTAGGTAAAAGCAAGCATGAAAAATATAAACTGCAGTATTTATTAGCATTTTATAAAATAAATGAATGAGTGTATTTATATATCAGTCCATTATATATTGTTAATTCAAAACAAAAAATTGACAAAACTTTGTGATTATTTATTTTTAGCCGTCATTGTGGGCGCGTTTTATGTTCCAAATGCTCAAATAATGAAGCTCCGATCCTCAAATTTGGCTTAAATAAACCCACGCGTGTATGTTTCACGTGTTTTGACGTTTTACATGGAGGAAGCCGGTCTTTCCAATGAGGGTAGAAGTTTACTAAAACGTAAATATTTATATAAGAAATATATGTATATGATTATGTAAAGAAATACTTCATACCTATAATTATAAGCATTAAAAGAGAAACAAAAACACAGTTAGATATGTGCACTAAATATATTTGGAAATATGTACTCATACCGATTTAACTTTGGTTTCCAATAAAAGTACGTACATTTATTTAATTAAAGTCAATTTATTGTATGCCTTTAATATGTATTAACCGCTATCGCTATACTTAAGTATTACAAAACAAAGTCCTCCTCTGCACATCTCTGCCTGTTAGCGATAAAAAAGTTACTGAACGCATTTTCATGAAGTTTTCACCAATATACCCTTCAAGAAGGCTTTCGATCATATGTCAGGAATGCATGACAACATATCCCGTCAGCTCGTAGAACGATTTTCCTATAGCTTTCTTAAGGCGGAAATGATAAACGTGATGTTTACATTTGTATACGTGTACGTCATGCTCTCTGAGTGACAGCATTGATACCAAAAGAAAACAATATATACACGCATACACACATTATTAAGATTCAGTCTTTATTTAAATATTTAACTTAATTCTTGTACATGGTTTACATAGCATACCAAGGAAATAACAATACAACAATTAATTCGATTTTTATAAATCAGAAAAACATTATAAGCAAAACCGCATATACATACAGTCTTTAATAGTGACGCAGTTCCTTTGCTCCACGCACGCCTTCGTCATAATTGCAGCTCCTTTGAAGTATAAAGCCATCTCAGTAAAATTAAAAAATAATTTACGAATCATAATGTTATTAAAAATTTAATGCAGTTGTTGAATATTTTTTAGATGTGCTGCTGCTGCAAGATGAGAAGTGTCCCTCAACATGCCCCATTAACAGAACTTTCCGTACAATAATATTGAGTACGCTTAAATAAAAACAATGTAAAGAGTTATGAAAAATGAAATAGTTAATTAATTGACAATATATTATGATCACAACATGTACAGGTCCCTCCTCATCATATATTTTTCACTTCTATCTGCTGAGAGAACAAAGAAAATTGGATAAGCCGTTCATCTGCATTTTTCTTCAATTTGTATGTGCTCAGAAGAGAAAGATAAACAAAAAAAATTGTATACGTGTTAATGCTGCTCGAAATCGTGTGAGTGTATTGCTGAACTGATCAGCCCATTCTTGCAGGGTATAGAGTATAGAGATTCAGGAAGGATAATGTTAATAAATTTATCAAATTTTTGTGTTAAATTTTTTTGTACAATATAAATTTCTTATAAAACTACGATTAATTCAAAATGTATTTAATCGATTTTTTTAATATTTTTTTTTGGAATAAAATTTTTGCGGCAGGTTGTCGCCTTCCATTTTTATAATACCTCTTTATGAAAATAAACCAATTCTTTAGGCATAAACTTTATTATTATTTGTTCATATGTATCTATGTAAATGTACAAGGTGCGCCATCTGTTGCAATTCCATTTGAAATTTGAGTCGATTAAAACAACTTTTTTTATTTTTTACACAAACTTCATTTGTTGCTTTCTATTTTATTTACATCATCATTTGAATATAATATCCGAAAATTGGCGCCCTTATTTTTGATACAAGAAGATGCCCTTTTCGGGCATTTTACATCACATTATCCAGAGTCTAGGTGATAATAAGCGATATGTCCCGGCGAATATTGGCTTTGATCTGAGCTCTGGTTTGCGACTTGTCGATGCAAACTTAAAATACCCCACACAAAAAGAAGTCCGCCGACTTCACATCGGGTGAGCTCAGCGGCCAGTCTAAATCGCCGTTTTTCGATATGATGAGGTTAATCGAACATCGTGCCTAATAGCGTCATTGAATCGCGCGTTCTGTGGCTACGTCCTGTTGGAACCAGAGGTGTGCAATGTCATTTTCAGTCTCTTCCGGAAACACTAAGGCACGACGTTGCTAGCATCATTCTCGAAAAAATACGGTCCAATGATCTTTTTGTCCGATTCACCGCACGAACGGTCCCTTTTTATCATGAAGAGGCCCCTCAAGTATCTCACAGGTATTTCCGTCATCCCAACAGCGACAGTTGTGGTTATTTGTCGCGCCATTCTATGTTAAATCAGCTTCATCGCTCATAAAGATTTTGAACTAAAACTCACCATCACCATGGATCATGTTTCTGCTCTTTGTATAATATCAGTGTTAGTTGATTAATATCATAAAATAGACTGAAATGAAGCATCGATGTCAATATCATCGGCATATGCCAGCAGTTTTGCATTCTTATAGAAAATTGGACTAAAAGCAATAAATTAAAGAAGTCACAAAATAAGCAATCACCTTGACAGATCCGCATGGTGTATCTTAATGACTGTTTACACAGCCGTATAAGTTTTACGGCCGGCGAGATTGCCGAGTGGTTAGCATTTTGTACTGCCATTTGAGAGAACAGGGTTTGAGTCCTCGTCAGACTAACATTCAAAAATTTTATATAGTTTCATCCGATTCGGCTAAAGCCTTAAAATCGTCATCATCAACTTCAATTCGACGATCTGTACGTGGGTTATCTTTGAGTGAGAAGCCACCCCAACGGAATTCGACAAAACAACTTCGACACTGTATTCCCGTAAAGAAAAAATACAATTAAATAGTCACAAGATGTCCAAAAAAATTATCAACGCCGTCTGTATGAAAAATCGCCGGTTTCTCTTGGGGCAACCCAATCATTGTTGTAAAATTATTCGGTTCTCTGCAGCTTCTGATGTCTTTTTACCTTTACATTTTTGTCAAATTTCTACCAATTTTGTTACATTTCCGTTTGAATTGCAAATTTTCAAAGCTGTATTTCGTCATTTATTTTGCGAAAAAATTCCACGGAGTGTTCTGACGGCTAACCATTTTATATTTCGGTAAGTATCGTACTTGCCTGACTTTATCGAATGCTCCCTTCATCTACGTAACCAGCTCTCCGCCTTTTAGTATATTTGAAAATTTGACTCGACAAATTTTTTACTGACAACCTAGTACAACAACTAGCAAACAGCAATATTGAAAACTTTTTGGGTGTTTTCATTCATGAAAAAAGTATTTCTCCATTTCATTAATTTAGCAGCGACAGCAGATATTTATATAACAATACGTATGTGTATCCCCTCCCAACTTTAGGAGTAATCCTTAAAAAAAGCTCATTTACTTTGCATGATCAAAAAATAAATATTGTTTACCTCTTTCTGAATGATCGCACAAATTTAATATTAATCTTAACACTCGAAGGTGATTAATCCATTAACATAAAATTTCTAAAGCCAAGTGCTCATTTGCTTTGCATGATCATACTGCAGCATTTCAAAAATATCAAGGCCTCTCGGCAGGGAATATCAAATCCCTCCGAGTGAATTTTCAACATGAAATAAAAGCTCTCCATAAAAATCCATCAGCGACTTAGAATAAATTAAAAGTCTCAACTCGTTGGAAAAAAACATCAAGACGTGCAAACAAATCTGAAGGGAAAAATCGTTTCAACGGTGTTGAAAACATGGGTCCTAATCCTAAATTACAAATATCAAATAAAATGGAAATTATCATTTTACTTATTATCTTTCACTGACCTCACGTCTATTTTTCCATACTCACCTTAGACATTTACCTGCAACCCTATCTTCATTTGTTTTTTTTTTTTACATTATATTATTATAGCTCGTCATTCGATCCCTGCCATAATAAGTCTGATGATGAGATGTGGTGATCTCCGAAACAGCTGTCACTTCTACCATTTTTTCTTTGCTGTATAACAAATATTCAATTCATACAAACAACAAGGCCTCGTAGTTTACTTAATAAAATTAATGAAAATACAGTAAAATTATTAGTAAAAATTAAACATGCGACTGAAAATTTCATACATCAATTGTGGTTTCGGAACGTTTTGATGCTTTTTTTTTTATTAAATCGTTTTTTTTTTTTTTGCATTTAGTTTCGTATTTAGAACAAAAAAGTGTTGGTTTGACCATTATTCAAAACTATGATCCTATTCATAGTAGCATGCAGTGTTGCTCACCCCACAGCAGCAGTTGGTTCTATGGGATCATGCTTATTATAACTCGATTACGACTGAGATAACATACGCAAGGAATGGGCCCTTTATTTCGAGGTGTAACCGCTTTCTTATGAGGCCAGGTACTACCACCATCCAAAAATTATAGCAAATTAATTTAAATCAAAAAATAAGTTAAATTTTCTAATTGCGGTCGCACCTCAGCAGGTAATGAAAACCCTTCCGAGTGTATTTATGACATGAAATAAAGGCTTGAATTTGTACTTCATTTGATAAAAATTTGAATAACCTTCTGCCTTTATACCCTACCTATTGCCCTTATTGTTTCACACGAACTCAACCATTACATTCTTAATAATGTTAGTGCTACACACACTGCAAGAAAGGAGAGTACTCTACTAGTAGTGCCGATGTGGAAATTGAGCCTTTAATATTATCATATATTGTATAAATTAGCCTTCATTTTTTGCGTATCATAACGAACCATATAAAAATTGAAATTCGTGCGTTTTGTTTAATTTTTGGTTATATTTCCATATATATATTATTACAATTCATATTTAGTATAAACTGCATTATTTGAGCTTAGAAAAGAGATGATGGCTAGCGCAATGATCCAACTCTGTGACATAATCGAACAATTCTTCCATGCAGGTTTCGGTCGTTTTCGACTTTCCATTTACTCTATCATTGCATTCTTGGTATTTGCTGTACAAAGCTTGTATGTTTCCATTGCTCTGACATTTTTCCTGTAAAAATATTAATACATAGATTTGTGAAAAAAGCATGCTTCAGTTTGTATTAAAAGATTTAAATTTGATTAAGCACTAAAGGATGGCTTATTGACGGTTGGACCAATTGAGTTAGCCAAAAATAATAATTTGGGAAACAAAACGGTAGATAAGTATTTAAATAATCTTAATAAGTGTAAGAAAGTTCACAATATTTTTGTATATGTAAGAACCCCAAACCCGAGAATTGAAATTAGTTTATTAGCTTCTTTGGTGTGTACCCCTTATTACTAGTACTTATGTACCTATATTTATATAAAGGGTTATCCATTTCGAAGCAAATACGTTCTCACCGGCATCATTTTTGAAGAAATGTAAACCACACCGAACCGTTCTTTTTTTCTGAATGAAATGGTAGCTCTTGAATCTCAGCAGGTTGCTCTTTTATTATACTTATATTGATATACTTATATTGAAAACGAGTTGCTTGTATTAACAGTCTGCTAGAAAGTATAGCAACGCACCAAAAAACCAGAACAATGATAACTAATAGCGGAATTGAGTTACTGGTCCGAAATAAGCCGTGTCTCCTTCGCGAATGGCAATCCTACCGATCGCCCGTTGCACAAATCCGACTTAAGATGGCAGAAAATGTTAAAAGCGACATTAAAAAAATCGTTTGACGTCTTTGTCTCATATGTACATACCCACACGCGCAAGAATCATATCAGACCAAAAATACGCGAAATGTTGCTCTCGTCTTTCTTGCAAAGTTTTTCAGTGCTATTTTAAAGCTAGGATAATTAAGATAGTTAAACCAGATAAAGGCCATTCAGTATGTTGCCTTGCCTTCCCAACCTTTCGAAAAATTTATGCTAGCAAAACATTCTCACATTCTCCATGAAAATTAATAATTCCTTTACAATTTATTCGCATAACTAAGGAAATAAGACCGTAGCCGAGTGGTTAGCTTTTGCCATTCGGAAGGCTCGAGTTCAAATCCTGGTGTCGTATTAACATCCAAAAGATAAAAAAAATGAATTTAGATAAAAAATTAAATTAAATTTTGTAACAGCGGTCGCCTCTCGGCGGGGAATGCCAACCCTTCCGAGTATATTTGTGACTGAAATAAGGCTTATCATAAAAAAAAACCATCAGCCGTTTGGAGAAAAAAAGGAAATCTTTCGAATTCAGAGCGGTATTTCTTGATGTGGCTCAAGCTCTTAGCAATGTGTGACACGGAATTCAAAAAATTAAATAATCACTACCGAACACGTTACACAATATGGTTCCCTGTAAAAATAAATGGATAAATAACATAAGAATATTCAATCCCGGCAGGTGTTACGTAAAGTAGTGCTTTTGGACTAATATTGTATAACTACTCACAGCAGATATAGGATAAGATGATGAGTGCAAATATATAACATTTACATTAAGCCGAAAACGTACCCAATTGTCAATGTCAACAATCTACCTATCCCGAAAGCCAATGGACTTACATATTATTTACACGAAAAGCGTTGTTGCAAGGCAAATTTATAGCAAATACATACAAATTTTAATGAAAAAAGAACAGAATAGTTGGTCCACAATATTTGAAAAAAAAAATTATAATCCTAAGTGGAGGAAAGGGAAATAATTAATTGATTTTGATGTATGACCAAGCGTAACTTTTTACCTGAACAAAGAGCACTTTTTTGATAGGATACATCTCATATACATAAACTTGATCACAAAAAATCTTTTCCAAGGTTGGAAATAGTTGTGGTTTGTTATTCAATCAAAGATTTTAATACTGAGTTGAATGTTAGACAAAGCAACACAATAATAAACGTGTAGTAATTATAAGAGTATATCCACAAAAATTCATACTACATTCACTTTATACACAACAAATTAAACCTCCGAAAGCGCTAAAAAGCAAAATATTATATTCTCATACAAAAAACCAGACCTTCCACTCCCCAAAATCCTATAACAAAAATTAATAAATATTAGGTCAAGTTCGGTTTATTTATTGATTTTTCAAAATATGATAACTTTGTGTATATTTGTCCGATTTAAATATGCGCCGTTTTGTTCGTAAACTTGTTGCCAATTTCATTATACCCCTCTCGTTGAAGGCTGCGTTCTATTGGCAAAAAAAAAAAACTAGGAGAGCCAATTTTCACAGGCCTCTCTTGAGGCCAACTTCTCACCATTAAGTGCGTCCGCCATGCACCAGAAAAGATGGTAATCACTTAGTGTCAGGCCCGGACTATAAGTTGGGTGCATAAGGACCTCCCATCCGAGCGTCACCAAAGAAGTGTGTGGCCTGGCGTTATGCTGATGGAACACAATTCGGACTCTGTTGATCAAAGATGGTCTCTTCTGAATGAGTTCATTTCTATTTGTTGGCACTAGAGGGCCGAATTGAGCGTTTGGCCATAGGTGAGAAGCTCGTAGTAGATGATTCCTTGCCCATCCTACCATACACACAGCAAAACCTTCCTGGCCGTCAATCTGGCCTTGGCCTCCCGACGCGTGGTGTATCTTTGACATTGAAATTCCCAGAACGGAACCTAGCAAACCACTTTTGTGCTACACGTTCGTTTACAGTATCGGGCCATAAACTAAATTAATTTTTTCAGCCGCTTTGGCTGCTTTTTCGATTTGATCGAAGAAAAAAATGTATATAATATAGCGAATTTTCACTTTACTGGTGTCCATCTTTGACGAGTGCTCACAACGTGTGTCTGAGATAGACACCTTTAATGGCATATGTACCCTTAAATCTTTGCTGAAAAGTGAAAAAATAATATTTGCACGTCTGTAAACCTATCTTTTAATTCAGCAATTCAAAAAAGTTGTTAATAGTAAATTGTTATTCGCTATTAAAAGTATGTTAAACCCACACCTGCATGGCTTGGAGTATTCTTGGTCCTATTCTATTTTCACTTATATAATAATCACTTAAATCGCTTCAGTGGTTACAAAGCGCCAATTTATAATAATATATTAATGACTTAGCGATTTGTTTTAAGGAAGCGAAATTTTTCAACTCTATGCCGATGACTTAAAGCTATCTATTTAGAAAAATACCTTGTACGTACATCGGATGTTAATTGAATACAACAAGATCTAAATAACTTAAATTCTTAGAGTCTCCAAAAGAAATAGTAGGAAATGCTTTCATATTATCTTTTTGAAGTCTCAAACTGTGTCCGATCTTCATATAATCTTTCTAATATGAACGTTCTCAAATGGTTCCAAGATCGAATGCAAATTCAGCATTTTTACGACTTTAGTTACAAATCTTTAGTTCGTTCAAAACTAGATTAATACTCCACTACACATTCCAACAAAGTGAAAATTTTGTCCACTTAACTCCCCGTCCCGTTTCCAGCCTACAGTGATCGGTGTAGGCTTACATCTATAGTCCTTTAATTATAGACGCTTTTTACAGTATATAATGTTTATTTTCGTCGTTATCTCCGGTTCTGTTATAATGCCCAAAACTTCTTTAATAGATTCGCTGTAATGTTCCGCGAAAAACTCTACGGTCTTGCTATATTTCAATGCGAAGACAGCTAAATCAATAAAAAAAAAACTTGTAAATTTTTTGATAACTGTTCAACTCTTTTAAATACAACGAAACTCCAATATTTCGCAACATATCATATAACTTTAAGAAAATCTATTTCATAGAAACCTAAATTCCACTTGATGTCGATTGCATGTTTTGGAAGCTATGTCTGCAAACCGATACGGCAAATCTCGCAGCCCAATACTAGTTACATAACAGACACTTTCATATTAACTTCCCGTATATAATTATCTAATGTTGTTGTTATTGGTTTTTCCGAAGCAGTAAGATCCACACATTTTTCAAATGGGGTATCTCCCAACACACATACTGCTATTATTAATATTTCAACATGACTTTCCAAATTATTTGCTATTTTAACAGATTTTGATAAATATTATTATATTTGAACTTACTCTCAATGCACTTTGCGGGTCAACAAGTTCAGCTTCTTCGTCCTCAGCTCTTACTGTGGGGAAAAAGGTTGTCGCAAAAAATTTAAACAGAGCCATATCTAAACCAAATATTATGATATAAAAATATATTGAACAAATATCTCAACAAATTTAATACCAAACTCACTAAATGATGCAATATCTGGCGAGTAACATATAACGAATATAACTAAATAAAGAACATCGATACGATGAATTAAATCGATAATTGTAATTTCAATTATCGATGTCCGTTGTAATTTTTGCTAAGCTGTAATTCTCTATTTTAACGAAAATATTTGAAAAATATTGACATATTGTTACGACTTTGCTGAATCAACCTCGATGATTTTCTGAATCCTTCGGGTACGATCTCTGGATTGTTAAATAAAAACTCGCCAACTTAATTTGCAGTTTATTTCGTTACAAAGAATTTATCTAATGTCGTTTCTTTACTCAGTAATTCACAATTCAATTACAATGCACCTTACTAGTTACAATCACTTGTATAAGACTTTCACAATTTATTTTACTTAAATGCAATCTCCAACTCTATACTGATGTTGTCGCCAACGAGTTCACTTTGTAACTCCCTTGGCAGCTGAGTGTCGCCCTTATATAGCAGTCGGCTGCTGTTGTTGTTGTTGTAGCGGTTCGCTAACCCCGTTCAGGCACAGGTTTGATCAGTCTAAGTCGCCGAGCTCATCTAATGGTAGGTCCAGAAAACGAGCTGTTTCGACGGAGTTGGACCAAAGGGAGAGGGGGGTTAGATGAGTTGGTTTGAGAGGGCATGTGAAGAGGTGGTTAGTGTCATTCGGAAACTCTCCACTTGCAGGGCATACGTTGGATAAGTAGGAGTTTCAATATCTAGACTTGAGTTGTGTCAGGGTCACGCGGGTCTCTCGAGGCAACTCGAGCTCGTTGTCTGCTATAGGTGGTGGTATTTCTCCGAGTACGCCATTCACTGGAAGGGAGTCCTTGAAGGTGTTGACTGACTCCTGGTGAATGGCGTTCAGTGCTTGTCGGTACGCCATCCTGTCCAGCGGTTGTTGTACATGCTGCTGGATTGTGTCCTTTAGATCTAGTACTCCCTTTCTGGTGTGCCTAGGTGGAGTTTCAGCTTACGACCGGCCGCCCAATTGCTTTATAAGTAGCCAGCAAAGTTTCTTTGCCTTTACCCCAGGTGCTGTCGGCTAGCGCTTAGAGTATGCGGAGTGAAAGAGTGCAGGCTGTCTAGCGCTACTCCCAATACTTTTGGGTTATTTACCGTCGGAATTTTTGTGTTATCGACCTTCACATCTCGTTCAAGCCTGTACTCCTTCGTCCAGCTGGTGAAGAGGGTTGAATTTTTAACTGTCTTGCAGTGAAGAAGTGGGAGAGATCAGCGAGGTAGCCGTTCACTTTCGAACAGAGGTCATCAATATCCTGGCCATACGCCGTTATCGTACAATCATCGGCATAAGAGGTTAGGGAAACACCTTCTGGTGGTGGAGGGAGTTTCGAGATGTAAAAATTAAACAGAAGCGGGTAAAGGACACCACCCTGCGTAACACCCGGTTTAATTTTTCTGGGTTAGATGTTACACCTCGGAATATTAACGATGATTGTCGACCACTCAGGTAGCCCATGACCCACCTCTGCAACACCGACGGTAATGAGGATTCCTCAATGTCCGTTAGTATCACTGAGTGAATGACTGTGTCAAAAGCTTTTGACAAGTCCAATGCTACCAGGACAGTTCGCGCGCAGGTTCGGTTTTGGTTAAGGCCATGGACCATCTGGGTGTTTATGGCGTTAAGTGCTGTTGTGGTGCTGTGCACTTTTCGGAAGCCATGCTGATGCGCTGCTGGACGCAGATGGTGAGTGAAAGTCGGGAGCAGTAAGGCCTCAAGTGTCTTCGCTACTGGGGAGAGGAGAGTTATCGGCCGATAAGACTCTCCTTTGTTGGCTGGTTTCCCTGGTTTATGTAGCGGGACCACCCTACCCATTTTCTACCCATCGGGTATCTTCAGGGTGGTCAGAGACAAATTGAGGACCCTCGTGAGAAATTATGCTCCCACTGGTCCAAGGTGTTTCAGCATCAGCATGTTTATTCCGTCAGGGCCGATGAATTTGGAGGCTTTCGCCTTCCCGATGACCCCCTGAACCTCCTCCCTGGAGAAATCAAGCACCGTGCTGGTGTTTGGCAGTTTGTGCATACGGCGGGTCACACGTCGTTTCCCTTTGTCTACCGAGGGATGCAGTGTGAAAAGTCGGCTAAAATAGCTCGCGCATCTCTTCGGATCAGACGAGGCGATCACCGAATAAATTTTCCACCCAGTCACCGCGTCTCGTCGGGTTAGACAGCGACTTGACTGTAGCCCAGAGCTTGGTTGCCCCAGAGGAGAGGTTGCAGGTTCTTAAGTGCTCCTCCCACTTTTTCCGCTTGTAATTGTTGACTACTCTTCGAATCTTCGCGTTTAAATCTCTGATTAAGGGATTCCCGGGATCGGAGCTTCGTAGGTTGCCGCGCCTGGATGCTAAAACCGACGCTTCTGTCGGAAAATTTGGGCGGATCTCCGAAATTCGGCCTGCCGGGATGAAGCGGGCGGAATAAACGATCATGATGCGCGTTAAAGTCGCCCAAAACCAAACGACTTTCGCCCCTGAGTATCGCACCTATATCAGGGGTGTATCCTTCTGGGCAACTCTTAACTGGAGGAATGTATATATTGAATATTTTGAGCTCGACAGCGCCTGACCGGATAGCTATGCCCTGACATTCTAGGGTAGTATCCCTGCCGTCGATGACGCCATCGATAAGACGATACTGCACGGTGTTGTGCAGTATGAACGCTAAGCCCCCACCGTGGTCGCGCTCGCGATCCTTACGAATTATGTTGTATCCGGCCTGATCTGATCGAGCGGTCTACTTAGTTTCCTGGATCGCAGCAATTGAAAGGTGCTCCCGGCTCATGTAGTCGACTTTCTTGTCAATCTTTCCCTGGAGTAAAATGTAAGAGTCGGGTCTGTCTCGGGGGAACGTTCGTGATACGGGGGGTGAGGGAGTGATGCGTGGATGGTGTGTGTTGCTGCTGTACTACCCGCGAGAGTTGGTTCCGCAAGTTGGTGTTAGTTGGCGGAGGGTTTGTCTAAACATGCGGGGGCAGACTCCCACAGCACGGGGCAACATACGCATTGCTCCACTCCCAGGTGGTGCGCAGGCCAGAGCACGTCCTGAAAGTGACACCAACCAGAGCAAAAGTTGCATTTGACTGAGGTCACGTTCCGACGCACTATGGTCTGACACACGGAACAGAGGGGATCATATTGTGGGGAGCTCCGTGAGACCTTGGAGGTCTGCTGATCACACAGAGTGGGTACAGGTGCTGAAGGCACAGTCGTGGAGGCTTGGGGGGCGGTTGGACGCTGGCATCATGGGGACACATAACTCGTTGTCCATTCCCTGTGAGTCTTAAGGCCTGAGCAGGTGACTCCAACCATTGCACTGGTTGCATCTAACCGAGGTGGAGGAATGGTGGAGTCTTCTGTGACACACGCAGCAGAAATAATCCGTCGGTCCAGGGTCGATTTCTACACCAGCCCTGGTCAGAAGGATTTGGAGCAACCCAGCTGCAAGTCAAATTACATATTGTCTTTCGGGTACGATCTCTGGATTGTTAAGTAAAAATCGCCAACTTAATTTGAGGTTCCTTTCGTTATAAAGAATTTATCTAATGTCCTTTATTTACTAAGTAATTCACAATTCAATTACAATGCACTTTACTAGCTACAATCACTTGCATAAACTTTCACAATTTGCTTTACTTAAATGTAATCTCCAACGCGTTTACTTTACAACTCTATACTGATGTTGTCGCCAAAGAGTTCACTTTGTAACTAACTTAACTTGGCAGCTGAGTGTCGCCCTTATATAGCTGTCGGCTGCTCGTAGACGAAAGTGTAGAATAATCGAGTTGTTCGCTATCGAAGGTTCTCGATTTATCTTTCATCTGACATCCGCATCGCATTTTCGCAACACTGCCTTTCACCTAAGTCTGATCGTCCCGATCAGACACATTTGCTGTTCCAAACTCAGCAAGCCTCTCAAGGTGGACCACTTTCATCTTGTTTCTTGGACTCCCAACGGTTTGGTTTCGATACACTACGTCGTTTAGTCGTTTGATTATCTTGTATGGACCTTCCCAATTACATTGAAGTTTTGGGGAAAAAACCCCTCTTCCATTGTGGACTGTACAGCAACACCAAATCTCCATTTTGGAAACCCTCGGAGTTCATCGCCTTGTCATACCTGGCCTTCATTTTGTCACTCATAACTTGAGTTCGCTGTCTCACAAGAGCATGTACCTCTCTTAGCTCTTCCTCGAGATCGGTAGACGTTACCTTCCCAATTCTTCTCGCATCGCCAGTTATTCCAAATTTTAAATCGCTGGGCAACCGTAGTTCACTACCAAACAGTATCCTCGCAGGTGTTTGCCCTGTAGTTACATGCACGGCGGACCGATATCCCATCAGGAAAAGCGGTATATGCACATCCCAATCATCCTGATGCTTGTCCACTACTTTTCGCAAGTGCTCTTCCAGGGTCCGGTTGAATCGCTCTACCATACCATCTGATTGAGGATGTAGGGCTGTCGTTCGGGTTTTTCGAATACCAAGTATTTGGCACATCTCCTGGAACACCGCCGATTCAAAGTTTCTTCCCTGATCTGAGTGCAATTCTATAGGCGCACCGTATCTGGTAACCCAATTGTTAGTGAATGCATCCGCAACTGTTTTTGCTTCTTGGTTTGGGATTGGGTAAACTTCAGTTCATTTACTGAAGTAGTCCATAACCACAAGAATGTATTTGTTTCCTTTTTTGCTCATAGGGAATGGACCGGCTACATCCATGGCAACCCGCTCAAATGGTACCCCTGCGTTATACTGATTCATCTGCCCATGACTTCGGCACTTTGAGCCTTTAGCTGCTATGCACTCCGTGCAATTAGAAGTCCAGTCCGCGACCGTTTGCCGACAGCCAACCCAATAGAACCGCTGCTTGATCTCTTCCAGCGTTTTTGTAATGCCTAGGTGCCCTCCACTAGGACCGTTATGGTACTACAGTCGCTCCACCACTTCTCGCAGAACTTCTCCATTGTTGAGAGTTCATGAAGGAATCTTCTGTGTAACTGTAAGATTTCCTCCTCTGCTTCCGATTTGGACCGTGTGCGTGGTCCTATTAGGAGTTTATCGTCCGGCATC